GAAGCCTCTATTCAAACGCAAATTGAGGGGATTGTCCGTAGCCTATTTTAAACAGAGGGAAGTTTCATATTTCATAAAATGGCAAATGTAGCCGCGAATAGCTGCAATACTGCTGATGCGGCTTTAAGCACTAATACTCACTCACCCACTGACGGTGATAGTTTTGTTTCCAGCTTTCGGACACATTAATGTTTTCACCATCATTGGACATTCATATACACAATTTCTTTTGTTAAATTATATTGAGCATGTTGAGGGTTTTATTATAAAGTACATAGGAAACTGTAACAACGTGAGATGACTCAGACTTTGTGTACATAGCATTTTCAAGCTCAAGTCATAAGTTTGCTAAATGCTACTTGAAGAATGAAGAGCATGAAAGAAGCATGACCAAAGGACTACTAACGTGCGCATGCGCTTGACCTTATGATATTACGCATGCGCACGGACAGCGTCTGAAACGCGAGAACACGAGAACGCGAGATCGCGAGAAAATGAAATGTCGCATTCTCGCGTTCTCGCGATTTTGTTTTTTTTGTGGCCTAATTTGACAAGTCGAGATTGCGAGACTGCGAGATTTTGCATCATGTCCAAATGTCGCAGAGATTTTGGCCAAATCTCGCGTTCTCGCGATCTCGCGTTCTCGTGTTTGGGGCATATTTACCTCGTTTCCAACTGGTCGAGATCGCGAGAATGCGAGATCGCGAGAATGTCCCTTACAGTATTCCATACAATAGTCCTATTTCAGTGCATCACAATGAGCTATCGTGTTGTTGATAGCGCACAAACCGCCGAACACTGCATCGTGATACCTGACGAACCTGAACAAACCCTTTGACGCAATACCAAATAAGCGGGTTACCGATGACGCAATACCTAGTAAGCGGGTTATTATTATTTTTCATATTTTGTATTCACGGGATTTATTATCACATCTTGAAGACACGATTTCATAATAAGCCCTTACATGCGGCTAGAGGTTACTAGGTCTTTGTGTAATCAATTTAACAAGTATTTTGTCCTTATTTCAGCATGTGCTTGGTATATGTATGTACTGGCATGTGTTTCTCTACAAAGGGGTTGGGGGAGGGGAAGGGAGTGGAGGGTTAGGGGAGGGTTGGGGTGGAGGTCCACTCGTCATACCGATGAACCGGGTTCGATTCCGCACATGGGTACAGTTGTGAAGCCAATGAAGTGTCTCTCATCGTGATGGTGCTGGAATACGGCAGAAAACCGTTACCCAACTTTGTTTGTTTTCGAATTTAAAAAATATATAAATTTCTTAGCCTATTTTCTTAAACCAAGCCTTGAAATGTAACTGAACCTCCAAGCATCTCTCTTAAGGATTTGTTTGCACGGGTATTTGTGTGAGGGATTGGTTGCACGGGTATCTGTGTGAGGGATTGGCTGCACGGGTATCTGTGTGAGGGATTGGTTGCACGGGTATCTGTGTGAGGGACTGGTTGCACGGGTATTTGTGTGAGGGATTCCTTGCATGGGTATCTGTGTGAGGGATTGGTTGCACGGGTATTTGTGTGAGGGATTGGTTGCACGGGTATTTGTGTGAGGGATTGGTTGCACGGGTATCTGTGTGAGGGATTGGTTACACGGGTATTTGTGTGAGGGATTGGTTGCACGGGTATCTGTGTGAGGGATTGGTTGAACGGGTATTTGTGTGAGGGATTGGTTGCACGGGTATCTGTGTGAGGGATTGGTTGCACGGGTATCTGTGTGAGGGATTGGTTGCACGGGTATCTGTGTGAGGGATTGGTTGCACGGGTATCTGTGTGAGGGATTGGTTGCACGGATATCTGTGTGAGGGATTGGTTGCACGGGTACCTGTGTGTGGGATTGGTTGCACGGGTACCTGTGTGAGGGATTGGTTGCACGGGTATCTGTGTGAGGGATTGGTTGCACGGGTATCTGTGTGAGGGATTGGTTGCATGGGTATCTGTTTGAGGGATTGGTTGCACGGGTATTTGTGTGAGGGATTGGTTGCACGGGTATCTGTGTGAGGGATTGGTTGCACGGGTATCTATGTGAGGCCATGGTAGCAAGAGTATTTATGTGAGGCCGTGATTGCAGGGATATCTATATTAGGGCATGGTTGCACGAATGTCTATGCGAGGGCATGGTTGCACGAATATCTATGTGAGGTCTTGGTTGCACGAATGTCTATGCGAGGGCATGGTTGCACGAATATCTATGTGAGGTCTTGGTTGCACGAATATCTATGTGAGGGCATAGTTGCACGAATATCTATGTTAGGGCATATTTGCACGAATATATATGTGAGGTCTTGGTTGCACGAATATCTATGCGAGGGCATGGTTGCACGAATATCTATGTGAGGGCATGGTTGCACGAATATCTATGTGAGGCCTTGGTTGCACGAATATCTATGTGAGGGCATAGTTGCACGAGTCTCAGTCTGAGGCGATGGTTGCACGAATATCTATGCGAGGGCATGGTTGCACGAATATCTATGTTAGGGCATGGTTGCTCGAATATCTATGTGAGGTCTTGGTTGCACGAATATCTATGCGAGGGCATGGTTGCACGAATATCTATGTGAGGGCATGGTTGCACGAATATCTATGTGAGGGCATGGTTGCACGAATATCTGTGTGAGGGCATGGTTGCACGAATATCTGTGTGAGGGCATGGTTGCACGAATATCTATGTGAGGCCATGGTTGCACGAGTCTCAGTCTGAGGCGATGGTTGCACGAATGTCTGTGTCAGGTCATGGTTGCACGAATATCTGTGTGAGGGCATGGTTGCACGAATATCTATGTGAGGCGATGGTTGCACGAGTCTCAGTCTGGGGCGATGGTTGCATGAGTATCTGTGTGAGGTCATGGTTGCACGAGCATTTATGTGAGGCCATGGTTGCACGAATATCTATGTGAGGCCATGGCTGCATGTGTGAGGCCTTGGTTGCACAAATATATGTATAAGGCCAGGTAGGGATGAGTTTCTATCTAAGGCATTGGTTGCACGAGTACCTGTCTAAGGCTACAGTTGCATGAGTGTATGTGGGGGGCCTTGGTTGCACGAGCACCTGTCTAAGGCTACAGTTGCATGAGTGTATGTGGGGGGCCTTGGTTGCACGAGTACCTGTCTAAGGCTACAGTTGCATGAGTGTATTTGGGGGGCCTTGGTTGCACGAGTACCTGTCTAAGGCTACAGTTGCATGAGTGTATGTGGGGGGCCTTGGTTGCACGAGTACCTGTCTAAGGCTACGGTTGCATGAGTGTATGTGGGGGGCCTTGGTTGCACGAGTACCTGTCTAAGGCTACAGTTGCATGAGTGTATTTGGGGGGCCTTGGTTGCACGAGCACCTGTCTAAGGCTACAGTTGCATGAGTGTATTTGGGGGGCCTTGGTTGCACGAGCACCTGTCTAAGGCTACAGTTGCATGAGTGTATGTGGGGGGCCTTGGTTGCACGAGCACCTGTCTAAGGCTACAGTTGCATGAGTGTATGTGGGGGGCCTTGGTTGCACGAGTACCTGTCTAAGGCTACAGTTGCATGAGTGTATGTGGGGGGCCTTGGTTGCACGAGTACCTGTCTAAGGCTACAGTTGCATGAGTGTATGTGGGGGGCCTTGGTTGCACGAGTACCTGTCTAAGGCTACAGTTGCATGAGTGTATTTGGGGGGCCTTGGTTGCACGAGTACCTGTCTAAGGCTACAGTTGCATGAGTGTATGTGGGGGGCCTTGGTTGCACGAGTACCTGTCTAAGGCTACAGTTGCATGAGTGTATTTGGGGGGCCTTGGTTGCACGAGTACCTGTCTAAGGCTACAGTTGCATGAGTGTATGTGGGGGGCCTTGGTTGCACGAGTACCTGTCTAAGGCTACAGTTGCATGAGTGTATTTGGGGGGCCTTGGTTGCACGAGTACCTGTCTAAGGCTACAGTTGCATGAGTGTATTTGGGGGGCCTTGGTTGCACGAGTACCTGTCTAAGGCTACGGTTGCATGAGTGTATGTGGGGGGCCTTGGTTGCACGAGTACCTGTCTAAGGCTACAGTTGCATGAGTGTATGTGGGGGGCCTTGGTTGCACGAGTACCTGTCTAAGGCTACAGTTGCATGAGTGTATGTGGGGGGCCTTGGTTGCACGAGCACCTGTCTAAGGCTACAGTTGCATGAGTGTATGTGTGGGGCCTTGGTTGCACGAGTACCTGTCTAAGGCTACAGTTGCATGAGTGTATGTGGGGGGCCTTGGTTGCACGAGTACCTGTCTAAGGCTACAGTTGCATGAGTGTATTTGGGGGGCCTTGGTTGCACGAGTACCTGTCTAAGGCTACAGTTGCATGAGTGTATGTGTGGGGCCTTGGTTGCACGAGTACCTGTCTAAGGCTACAGTTGCATGAGTGTATGTGGGGGGCCTTGGTTGCACGAGTACCTGTCTAAGGCTACAGTTGCATGAGTGTATGTGGGGGGCCTTGGTTGCACGAGCACCTGTCTAAGGCTACAGTTGCATGAGTGTATGTGGGGGGCCTTGGTTGCACGAGTACCTGTCTAAGGCTACAGTTGCATGAGTGTATGTGGGGGGCCTTGGTTGCACGAGTACCTGTCTAAGGCTACAGTTGCATGAGTGTATGTGGGGGGCCTTGGTTGCACGAGTACCTGTCTAAGGCTACAGTTGCATGAGTGTATGTGGGGGGCCTTGGTTGTACGAGCACCTGTCTAAGGCTACAGTTGCATGAGTGTATGTGGGGGGCCTTGGTTGCACGAATACCTGTCTAAGGCTACAGTTGCATGAGTGTATTTGGGGGGCCTTGGTTGCACGAGTACCTGTCTAAGGCTACAGTTGCATGAGTGTATGTGGGGGGCCTTGGTTGCACGAACACCTGTCTAAGGCTACAGTTGCATGAGTGTATGTGGGGGGCCTTGGTTGCACGAGCACCTGTGCGATGCTATGGTTGGGTGAGTATATGTTGGAGAACAATGGGACACAAGTGTACATACTTGAAACAGAATCCCTGTGCGGCAGGTTTGCCTTACTTGTTTGTCAGTTTCGATGATTGCCTGTGGGATGAAAACACGCAGATAGGGCTGATAGTCACAAGGGCCGGACTCCCCGCTCTCTAGATTGTCCCGAAGGGCAGTTTGGGCCACAGTGACTGCTAGCTACTCAGTCACCCGGTGTTTGAATGGTCATCCCACAGGAGAGGCACCACGCACCCGCGAGTTCAACTACTCCTTTGAACAGTGTAAGCAAATCACCCAGTGATGCTGTTGTGCTTATGATCTGTTCTACGACATTTGGATATTCATATGTGAAATATTCTCCACATGGCTACACCAAACAGTACGATTCGTCTCCTGCTCGGTCTAATTCTCTTGGCGTTAACTCAAGGTAAGGTTATACCTTCAGCTTTGAGTGACTGAGTATGGTTTCACGTCGACTTTCAGCAATATTCAAGCAATATCACGACGGGGGACACAAGAAATGGGCTTCACATTGTACATGTATGGGAATCGACCCCTTCGATGTGACGAGCGAACGAGGCTACCCGACCGCCTCTTTCAGCTTTGAATATATCAGTAGCATGTTATAATCTACCCTATTCTCTTTGTTGACAAATACTCCTTAATTCATGGACAACATTTCCAGTATTATCCATAGACCGAGAGTACGAGGTGAGGTGAGGTGAAATTGGGTTTAACGTCGCGTCCACGTGTATGTGTGTGTGTGGCTGCTTGTACTAGTCCGGACTGATGCCGATTTATAGTGCTAGCTCACTGAGATACCATGCCGCAGTTTAACATGAATACCCCACTCAGACACAGTATACTGACTCCGAGCCGACCAGTCCTTGTTTTAGCCCCTTAATGCCGAGCGCCAGACAGGGTAACAACAAGTACAATCTTTTAACGTCTTTTTGTATGACGCGGCCCGGGATCGAACCCTGGACCTTCCGCTCTCCGGGCGGACGCTCTACCACAAGACCACGGAGGCGGTCACCGAGAGTACGAACATGTCCATGGGACTAGATGTGTGCGGTGGAGCTGTTTGTTGGAAATTGTGGTAAACGGGGGTCCGAGTCTACCACGTATCTTGTCAATACTCATCATTGCCAAATTTAAATGTGAATTTAAACGTAACTTCACATCCAGAATACTACCATATAGTAACAAATATACCACATCATTACAGAGCATCTGTATCCAATTTACAATGACGTTTAGTCCCTGCAATTGTGGAAGGCGTCATCATGGACACTTTCCTGAACTTTGAGGTCATCAACGCTACGGCGATCTTTTCTTTGCCACAAGAAATTTCAGTTTCATCTCCGCTTGAGTTGTGTCTAACGTATAGGGTCATCTTACCACCCGAGTGTGTGAGTTGTCAAAGGCGGAAGTCTCAACAATGAGTATTGTTTTGCTCCAGGGGGGGGGGGGGGGGGGGGGGGGGGTTGGCCGCCAAGTTATTGTTGCCTGTGACCTGTTGTTTGTTCCCAGTCGGTTGTATGTTGTTTTTGTCAAGGACAAGTGGAGAGCTGACTAAAGTCTGTTTCAACTAAAACCTTCTCACTGGCGAACTCTGGCCACACAGCCAGTGGGTTGTACTATGGTCTTAACTGAACTAGCCGTGTTAAATCAGTTTGATTTGAAAAGAGTGAACGATGTCTAACCAAATGATATATAATGGTATCACTGACAACAATCTAAGCAACCCCTGAACCTCCCTCTTGGGTTGCACAGACCACTTTCGCCCCTTTCGGAAACACATTAAATGGCCTGGCCGGGCCCGTGTGCGAAATACGCATCAGTCGGAAAGCGCACGTTAAATCTCCAAAGTAAGAAAGTAAGTACAATCATTGCAAAATGACAAACGCATAGGTTAACATGAGATTCATTCAAAAATTCTTTTTGTGGTTGGCATTTGATATATTCTGGCTTCCAGAATAGAGTTAAGACTACGAAATGTACCAGAATTCAATGGAAGTGTCGTCTGGCAAGTTGCCCTGCAACAGTGAACAGTCAATGACGTTATTAGTAGTTCTGGAAATGCTTAATGTCATCCAAAGAGTTGCCTTTTCCATTTTTGGCAAGCCATATGGAACAACGCGAAATATTGCCACCTCCAGCCTGCCTTTAAGAACGACCTTCATCCATCGAGCCTTTGCGCTACCTCTATTGAGAATTTGTGACATCGAAGACTCCTGGTTTGCAGATATGGACAATCCGGACCTGAGAAACTTTGCTGACTATCTGACAGAACAGTGGGTCGAACGTTGCGAATGTTCAGTGTACGCGAAACCACTTCAACACCCAAGGGCCACGTAAGACCAACCACGCGAAGGGGTGGCATTCCAAAATTGTGAAATTGTCAGCAAGCCATCCCAACATGTATAAATTCATTGACTTGATAGAAAAATAACAATCCAATGTTGAAATTACACTGCGCCAGTTACGGGCGGGCAGTTCCATCCGTTCTAGAAAGTAAATGTATCGTGCCATGGATGACCGCCTGAACGGCCTGAAGAACCTTCTGAAGGAACCCTCCTGCCATTGAATATAGAGATGCTGTTTCCCATTTGTTGGTGTACCAGTGTAAAATATGTCAAAATGAATTTGTTATATACATATTGATTAGCTGGCTACTGTGTTTGTGAATAATATATGAATACCGAATGACAATACCAAAACATAAAATATTTGCACGAATTTGTAATGAAATAGAGATTCTTTTTAGTCACATCGCATAAGTCTGGTTATTTATAGATTTATATTTCATGATAAATTCGTGCAATTATTTTATTTTTAAAAATATAAAATGACATTCATATCATTCGGTATTCATATTTTATTCACAAAAACAATAATATTTACTTTAACTTTTTTTTTTAACTGACTATAGGCTACATACCGAAACAGACTATAACGTAATGCAAATGGGGGACAAGTGATACTTATACAAATATTTGTCCCCCGCCCTGGCAAAAAAAGTTAACTACGGCCTTGGGATTATCACGGATTATAGAGTGATTTCTATATCTGAAAAGTGGGAACCCTCCTTGAAGGTCACGACAAGGGCTTTTGTATAATTGGTGTTGGCTGTTGTGGATGGGAGAACGAGTGAGTATTAGCCCCAGAAATATAGTTATCTTGTTAAAAAGATAAGTATTTAAAAATTAAAAATATATCATCCAAATGGTGTCCGGAACAATGCTTAATGTCTTAAGTGTCGCAGGCCTTAAACCAACAAACGCCGATATCCACGACTGGGACGTCAGCGGTACTCTTGATCTGTTCTCCAGACTACAAGACACGAGAGCAATGATGAATTATTTATACCATTAAAAACCTATTCCGTTTGTGCGACATCACGACAAACTAATCAGAATGCACCGTGGTTATAAAAAGTTCTTTATATAATGTACTTTTACGGGTCTGTGGATATGCCAAATTGTTTCAAAATATCACAAGAGTTTCACCATCCTGAAGAACAAGTGGATGTGAATGGCAACCGTGATATATTTAGAAAATATGGATGTAAACTTGGCGGGTGGGGTACAATTAATAAACCAATCACATCCTTTCTATGATCAACCACTACGCAGTAGTCGTTCCCTTTTCAGCTCTAGGCTTGAACGACGCATCCGTAATTATTTTATCTATAGAAAATGTTGGTAAGATGTGTTGGCATCCAAGTGATAAGCTTTCGCTCGTCATTCTAAAGTCCCGGGTTCGATTGCCTACTTAGTTGAAGATTTATTTATCACCGCCGTGATGTGGCTGGAATATTGCAAATTTAGAGAAGTAAACCTCTCCGCCATTATGACAATCAAGGTTGTATTCTCAGTAACTGGTGTAGCCATCGGATTCCAATCTGGGCTATTTCGAAAAAAGAAAAGGACTTGGGGCGTTCGGTCCACTGAAGAAAACAAAACCTTGCCTCTGGCTACCTAAAAGCATCTATACGACGGTAGATCTCAAGATGTGAAGAGGCAATTAGCTAAAGTTCCCCAGGCTGAAACATGATTTGTTGTGTCCAGGGAAGACATAGAATCATGTACATGTTTGTGCAGGTATACAAGTCTTTGTGTTTGTGTTTCAGAGTCGGCGTGTATACTATGTCGCACAAAGACCAGAGGGGTCGGGCTCGCCCACCGTGACCACATTCAGTGTGCTAACAGCTGCTGTGGTCCCGATGATGACCAGTACTGCTGTGTTGTCAGGTGAGTCCCGTCGTACCTGAGTAGTGTTGTCAGATGAGTCCCGTCTTACCTGAGCCGTGTTGTCAGGTGAGTCCCGTCTTTCCTGAGCTGTGTTGTCAGGTGAGGAGTCCCGTCGTAAGTGAGATGTGTTGTCAGATGAGTCACGTCTCACCTGAGCTGTATTGTCAGGTGAGTCCCGTCGTACCTGAGCAGTGATGTCAGATGAGTACCGTCTTACCTGAGCCGTGTTGTCAGGTGAGTCCCGTCTTACCTGAGCTGTGTTGTCAGGTGAATCCCGTCGTACCTGAGCTGTGTTGTCAGATGAGTCCCGTCTTGTCTGAGATGTGTTGTCAGGTGAGGAGTCCAGTCCCACCTGAGCTGTGTTGTCAGGTGAGTCCCGTCGTACCTGAGCTGTGTTGTCAGGTGAGTCCAGTCCCACCTGAGCTGTGTTCTCAGATGAGTCCCGTCTTGACTGAGCTGTGTTGTCAGATGAGGAGTCCCGTCGTACCTGAGCTGTATTGTCAGGTGAGGAGTCCCGTCGTACCTGAGCCGTGTTGTCAGATGAGCCACGTCTTACCTGAGCTGTGTTGTCAGGTAAGTCCCGTCTTTCCTGAGCTGTATTGTCAGATGAGTCACGACATACCTGAGCTGTATTGTCAGGTGAGTCCCGTCTTACCTGAGCCGTGTTGTTCCGCCCTGCCTTGGATGATTATTGTTAACTATTGTCAATAGTTATGATGTTGATGATGATTGAAAACAGTAGTGATGGTGATTCTTGTTAACAGTAACGCTGTGATTCTGGGGTGTGCAGTTGGCGGCGGCACCATGGTGGTCATCACTATCGGCGCCATCTGTTACTTTTTGAGTCGAGGACGACGTTGTTGCGACTGGGGTAGTCACGTCCAGCGGTCATCGTCCATCAGCGAGCCCCACCCCTTCAGCCGGGTGTCGTCCGTGGGCAGTGAGCTGCAGCAGATTGACCGCATCATCCTGGAGTGTTCTGTCCGCCGTCCGTCACAGCTCAGTCTAGGTAGTCTGGCTTTTTTAGATCAGGTTGTAGTGTATATATATATGTATATATATATTATAGATACGGCGCTCGTAGTGCAAAGGTCGATTCATTAAACGGACCTAAGGTTCCCAGCTACTGTTTGTCTTGTGTTTCAATAGCACCTTTAAATCGACACCCAAACACTCCATGATGTCCATCGTTATGTACTCCGAACACACAGGTAACACTTCCCCGTGCTTGTGATATAGTTTATCTGTACCCCCCCCCCCCCCCCCCCCCTCTCTCCACCACCACCAACACACAAACACACCTCCCCCATGACGCACCCCATACACACAGCTAACTGCTCCCCGTGTATAATGCTTTAGCCTCTCTGACTTCCATGACGTACCCCAGACACACAGCTAACTGCTCCCCGTGTCTTATGTTGTAGCCTTTCTACCCTCCATGACGTACTCCTACACACAGCTAACTGTTGTCCGTATCTTATGTTGTAGCCTCTCTGCCCTGCATGACGTACTCCTACACACAGCTAACTATTGCCCGTATCTTATGTTGTAGCCTTTCTACCCTCCATGACGTACCCCTAGACACAGTTAACTGTTGCCCGTGTCTTATTGTGTAGCCTTTCTACCCTCCATGACGTACTCCTACACACAGCTAACTGTTGCCCGTGTCTTATTGTGTAGCCTTTCTACCCTCCATGACGTACCCCTACACACAGCTAACTATTCCCCGTGTCTTATGTTGTAGCCTCTCTGCACTCCATGACGTACCCCTACACACAGCTAACTGTTGCCCGTGTCTTATGTTGTAGCCTTTCTGCCCTCCATGACGTACCCCATACACACAGCTAACTATTCCTCGTGTCTTATGTTGTAGCCTTTCTGCCCTCCATGACGTACCCCTTCACACAGCTAACTGTTGCCCATGTCTTATGTTGTAGCCTCTCTGCCCTCCAGGGTATATCACATCCATGATCAACAGATCTCTAAAACGTCCGCCACGGATGCCGTTGCACCAGCATCGGTTCCAGATGTTCATAGCGGAAACCCGATGCATCGATAGAACTAGCAATCATCGCAATGTGTCCTGATATGTCACGGATTTGACAAATGAAGCACCATCGTTTTGCAGAGAACCACGATTTATCGCTGTTTAGTTGATATTTGGGACATGGGTGATTTTCACTTTCAACATAGTATCCTCCTTGTCTGGAGATGATGGCTCAATTGACCGAAAAATCAGTCATCTCCCGTTCGACCACGGGTGACCCCGTCGTCTAAGGCGCCGCATTTCGCTCTACATCTGTTGTAGTTTGTTTATCACAAATATTTTCAAATAATATCGTCATTGGATGAGAAAGGTCCGTTAAGAACGACGCCAGTACGTCAGTCAGAATGACAGCGCGTCGTAAAACATGAACTTCAAGTAGGAGAAGAACTTAACGCTCCAATATGCATATGCTTTGCTCTAAAGGGATCAGAAGAAGGCCTCTTAGAATTGATGACTATACAAAGAAAAGATGTTATTGCGTCGGGTTTAAAATCAATTGTAATAAATGTATGGCTACTTGAATTGCTTCCAGGAAGAAATCAAATGAACAGTCATGTCCCAGTATTCCATTGCACTGGTCAAGAGAACCATTTAAACTTCAATAAAATTTAATGTTCTCCACGAATCTACATGATATCATTTCTATAAATTTCGAAAAATAGGTGAGCAAAGCGAGGAAAATATTTCTTTTCTTTGCAAAAGAGACAACAACTAACGAGTTAAAATAACAATCGTAAAATCTCAAATTATGCCCCATTTTACCCATATTTTTTCAGCCCCGATATATTTGGGATGGAAAAACGTGACAAGTTTAAACGGAGTAATTATCATAGGAGGGGTGGATTACAAATGATTGGTAATAAACCCTTCTGTAAATATGTAAAAATATAATGGATAAAAAATTATATACTAAAATGGTTTATGGGAGTATTAAGGGCATTACACAATCTGCAAACTTAGCCATATCAACATCGCCAATTTTCAAAAAGAATACCTGAAAAATATAGAAAAGGAAATAAGAAACGATTTTTTGAAAGATGTGGTTTCAAATTACAAGAGTCTTCAATTACCAGAAATACAAAGTATTTTGGGGAATTCTTGTCCCTTGTTATATCAAATTTTATATCTCTCAGAGACACTTGCTTATGTGGTTTAGAAGTGGTGTTAGATATATGAAAGATATTTTTACATATACTGGGTACTTGAAAACATTTGCAAATATAAAAATAAACTTTAAATTGAAAGGAGCATATCTTCTATGTTTTATACTAATATACCATAGCCCACAGCGTTGGATAACATGTGCAAAGGGTGAGTTGGTAGAAAGAAATAATGAAGATAAACATTGTCAAATATTCTTAGATATGCGTTTATCTAACTATTGTAAATTCATATATAAATTATTAAAGTACATGTCAAGTCAAGTTGGAGTGGGAGTCGAAGCTGACTTTGACATTACCTGAAGACTATCTGTCAAAATGACTTGATATGATTCATACATCCGCCGTGCATAATAAGCAAGACACTTTCAGTACAAACCTATCCATAGAATTATAATAACTAAATCGTTTTTGCCAAATATTGGAAAATGTGAAAATAAATTTATCCTCGTTTTGCAATAAAGAATCGGAAACCATAGAACATCTTTTCTTCCTCTGTAATGAGACTAGAAACCTAATTAAAAACATCATTTACTGGTATGAAGAAAGAACTACTAAGACCTTGCATCTCGATAAAGTATCATTCCTACTTCGAGACCCCAACACGAGTATTCTCAAAAAGCACCTTTGTATTATTTTGAAAACATATATCTCGCTATTGTTATGGTGCGCCATTTGGTATTCATAAAATTAAATTTTGATATTTGATAAAAAAATATTTAAAAATATTTTAACGAATACTAGACCAAATGGCGCACTATAGTACCGTTATGGAAATAGCCCTACTGACCTCAGCCAAGTATTATATCTGATAAAGAATTATTACAACACAGAAATATATACATATACCTCAGATAGTGTTACGATAAACGGAAAATGGTCATGTCTTAACTTAGATTACATATTGCTTATCCCGTCTCTTCATACGCAGGGGCACGGGTGGCCCAGTCGTCTAAGGCGCCGCGATTCGCTGTGCAGAGTTGCGTCCCTTGGGCACGCCAGAAACCTATCATTGTGGGTTCGAATCCCGGTTCGCCCCGATTATGTTTCTAGGTTTGTCAGCACCATACCCGTGCTCGTGGGTTGCACCGAAGTGGTAAATGTCTGAGACCTGCATCACTTCGGGCTTTCCTCCCACATCAAGCTGACACGCCGTGATATAACTGGAATACTGTTAAAAGCGGCGTTTAACCCAACTCACTCACTCACTCACTCACTCTTCATGCGCATCCTTCTTGGTGGTGTACAGCCCTGTCCTACACACCACATTATTGTCTTATTCACCATAGAACATGTAGAAAGAAACGCTTACCATCCCAGTATCCCTCAACGTGTGTATGTAAGGGATTGTGTAAATCGTGTTTTTCTTTCTATTGTCAATAAAGGTGGAAAACACAAAATGCACATCAAGTACATAACGTCAGTGGCCGATCATTGAAAGGTGATGATTAAGATGTGTTAAATAGATACTAAGGTAAATTCATAGATTGCCGTAGACTGTCACTGTTAGTCCAGACACGGGTTGAGTCGATACCACGACAGTTTGGATATGTATTTGCATGTCTTCGTTTTGTTACATGATGGGACGTAGCGAGGATATTCGTGAACGTGTTCCTCGGAGCGAGGGGGCGGTCGGGTAGCCTAGTGGTTAAAGCGTTCGCTCGTCACGCCGAAGACCCGGGTTCGATTCCCGTCATGGGTACAATGTGTGAAGCCCATTTCTGGTGTCCCCCGCCGTGATATTGCTGGAATATTGCTAAAAACGGCGTAAAACCATACCCACTCACTCACTCCTCAGAGCGAGTAATTACGGGTCCAGGACAAAGTCATATGTTCACATTCTGTGTCAGCTGTGGTCGCTGCAGTGATCATCATGTTTTATCATCAGGAAGCTGTGTCGCACATTTTAAGGATGTACACTTAGTTTTACTTTACAATATTAACTGTGGGGGTTACACGGGACAGCCCATCGGGGACACGACCCAAACTTGTATCTTGTATCTGGGTATTAGATCGTAAACAAAAGTTAATTTTCATTGTTTTATTCTTTCTAAATCATCATGTTTTCATTAGTGTTTCGTCGTATGATTTTGTTCCTTCAACCAAAAGCTTTGTTGACCGTTCAGAGATAGTAGATGTACTCTAACCATCGTAATAATGTAAATGCATGTTCATTCTATTGAAAGTCACCCTGTCAAAAGAGAGGCTGACACACCCTTTTGGACTGTTTGTTTGCTTGTTTGTTGTTTAACGAGTCTGGCCAAGACAAACCAGTGATTGACAATTGGCTTATCTAATTGAATCTTACATCGATGCTTAAAAGTTGCTGTTTCTGGGACAACTGTGTAATAACCCAACACACTACCTCAGCAGAACATTGTTCACCACACGCTTATTCCTGCTCAGAAAAGGGTGTTCCAAAAGGTCTCGTGGCTTTGTACCAAACATTGTTCAGATTCTACAGAAGTACAACATGTTTGAGCATCTAACAGCATTCATGGACACAGGGCAGTTTTGCAAACCATCAGTCTGGAAGAAAAAGGTCAAGAAGCAAATCGAAGAACATCATGATTCGGAGTGGCAACAGCGTCTACAAACAGACCCGGACCTACACCATTTTTCAAAAGTACACAACAAAATCAAACCTCACAAAGCATGGAAAGTTGCTTAGCATTGGCCCTTATTAAAAGACTCCTGCAAATTTGTTGTGGACATGTGCGCACTCTGGCGGCCAGGCAAAGTACACGGTCACTGCGAACGTTGGGACAAAGGTTATAATGATCTTCTGGTCCATATGATATGCCACTGCAGAGCATCAGAATTCATCAGGGATCGTATGTGGTGTGAAATTGTCAACTGGTGTCCAGTAGAATTGAGTGTTACCTTACACTCCATGTGTGACGTTGACCTAGTGTGCAGTCTGCTGTCCTGCACACCTCCTGTACAAGCGAGTGAAGAAGACAATGAGCTGTTTGCAAGAACTGTGATCCAGAACATACACCAACTGTGTTTGACACTATATCCTGACCCTTAACCTAATCTTGTTATTTCTCTTGTTAATATCTGTATAACCGTAATGAACTGCATGTAACTCTCCTATGGAGGAATAAAGATGATAATAATTAAGAGGGTATTCGGGACTCAGCAGTGTGGTACGTCTGGACGCAAATAAAATCGTATTTGGCACGTAGATTGAACATTCTGAAAAAATAATGGTATACGTAAAAATCTCCTTCATATATTTCATATCTTCGATATTTTTTCTGTAATTGAACTTGTCTGACCTTGAAACGTGTTCCATTATCTTCTATAGGTTTTCGTCTGTTTCCGGCATACGCCACGCCATGGCGCGTTCGGTTCCAAATTCAATTTAGCGCGATTAAATCTACAAATTACGTAGCTCTACATTGAAAACACTGAATGTTTATCTCCTAATTAATCACATATGTGTTTTGAATGCCATAGTCAGTGAGTGAGTTTGGTTTAACGCCGCTTTTAACAGCATTCAAGTTATATCGCGGCGTGTCAGCTTAATGTGGGAGGAAAGTCCGAAGTGATGCACGTCTCAGACGTTTACCACTTCGGTGAAACCCACGAGCACGGGCATGGTGCTGACAAACCTAGAAACATAATCGGGGCGAACCGGGATTCGAACCCACAATCATAGGTTTCTGGTGTGCCCAAGGGTTTTGAATGCCATGATGAACCAAACCTACTTTTTGCTATAGTACAATGCAGGCGTAACGGCAGCTCTCGCGTATTCCTGTTGTCAAAATATTGAACCGCTTTGATATAAATATCATTCTACTGTTTTGAAAAAATAATATTTGGTAACATATTACATTAATCTAGTCCCAGTTGTTCATCTTTTATTACCAAATTATTATTTTTTAAATACGATTTTGAAATTAGATAAGGAAAACTTGGTTTCAAATATTTTCAGCAATAAATCTCTAAGACATATTATGTTAAGAGTTGCAATTTTGATTTTGTCTTTTCCTTGCTTGAAACGGCAATGTGAAGCTCATTTATTTCATGGCTGAATTTGCTCAACAACGTTAACAAACAGTATATACATTTAATATGTGTTTATTATAATAACTTTATGAAATTCCTTTCCGCCATATCTAGAGATGTACAGAAGAATTTCTCAATACATACAAACAGCCTTTGCTTGCAATTGGTGGGATGGTCAGGTTTGGTGAACTGGATGATTGCGTACCAGCGCACCCTGACGTTGTGGGTCGTGGCTTGCAGTATCAATTATTTATTCAAGTAAAGACATGTAGCTGAATACAAAATAATCGATATAAAATACAACAGCTTTGTTATAGATAATATTTCTCGGAAACAATAGTGAATGAATAATTTAGTCCCTTACAGGTTTAATAGGCTAGAATATATATATAGGTCACACATTTATGTTGTTAAAACCCCTTATATTTATAACATTAATTTCCCATTTACTATTTCTGTAAGTATTTAACGCTGATGTACGATAGATTCCTTTTACTGTACTGTATTTTAGAGCGAGACTTTTCTTTTACAAATGTCGAAATAATTCGTTTTAATCTCCTGTATCTTTGCGTGTATGATTTGAGGTATACCAACATAGTACGTGTGAATGTTTATTGAGGAATCGATTATTTTCAAACAGCTTGTATTCGTTTTGTTCAGTCATTTCTTGTTGATTTAATAAAGGTATTTGACACGGGTCTGGCAAAAGACAAAAGGCGTGTGTGTATGTGTATGGGTAACTCACAGAATAAGATAATCCCGCAAATACTAGTATATAATAACAAGTAAATCCGTTTTATATTTTACATATCATTGTCTTACGTTTGCTGCCTAGAGTTGTAACAGCAAAACAATTAGCTCAAATGACTCGGTTTTTGTGGATATCTATGACATGTCATGTTCACACCAAAAGATTTCACTGTTACACAAATCCTCCTTTGTGAGTCTCAGAACTTCTCAATCAACAACCCATGGTTGATTTTAGGGCCTTTTATCGTGTTTTCTTAGAGGTAACTTTTCGCCTGAACTTTAAAGACTCACAAAGAACACATGGGCAGAGAAGCTTTGTTTTCACGCTGCCAAACGAGCATCCTCCTCTCCCATCTCAGAAAGCCGTCGTTGTCGAGTATGGATATTCTGCCTATGTATAGTGAATTCTGCTTTTGAGGTTTGTCTTAAGTAGTATTCGGGATTCAGGGTGGCTATGAGACTCGGGGTCAAAAATTAGATCGTCTTCGGGATTCAGAGGGGTTGGCACCCTCAAAAGACGCCCCGTCACACCGTCCAAGCTGACGACAAACGTTCCTGTGTGAACCCCCATTGCGGTCATCAAGAGGCTTTAGGGTAGCCTTGTAGTTAAATATTTCGCTCGTAACGCCGACGATCGTGGTCAACACGTGTGCATTGTTTGAAGACCATTTAAATATTAAACCCTTCTCGCACATTCACGTCCATTTGTGAACAACTCCCGTCATTCCGGAACAAGCCGAATGGTCTTTTTGCAGCTTACGGAACGGGGCGAGTGGTGCCGAATGATTCTCTACGAATACGGCAATTGTAAGAGCTGCATGGATAACCCATCTTCCCGAGGCAAGAGAGTTCACTGAGTTTAAAAGTCCAGTTTCCACCCTTGCTACTGGACTGTTATAGCCAGTGACAGTATCCACTTACACATTTACTCCAAAGTGAGATAGTTCCATCGGCGACATCCTAACCGACAATGTGATGGAAAACGCGCATTTTACATTTATGCGAAACTTTGTGATTTCCAACTTCTTTGTACATGCCATATGCCGAGCTAGGAAGAATATCTCCTCAAATAACCATGCAAATGAGAATAATGGGTGCATTCACTGCAAGACTTAAGGTTAATCACCAAGCGTCGCCGGTTTCGTATCACACAAACAAACAAAAAGACAACAGTTCAAATTTGCATATTTCTTTTTAATTGCTTTGCTGCGATTGGTTATATAGGGTTTAGATTAAAAATCTTTATATACATATATACTTGATTCTATTAAAATATAAAACCATTTTACACATATATACATGTATACGACTTCTGAAGAAACGGTGTTAGTTTTAGCTGAAGATGAACAAAATTTGATTTTATAGAAAAATGATCTAAGCTTATGAAACATTAAGACAAACGCAAGCACATTATGAACTATATACAAACAAAAGGACAAGATATATTTATTGAAAATGAGCTCATAACGTGGTTGCCTTTCACTGTACTTCCCCTGATCGCACTTTCATACTAAGGCCGCGATATGAAACATGAATACATCCCGGCCGACAATATTGGGAATCGAACCCATGTCTCGACGCTTTTACGGTTGTAACCGACACTTGGCTACCACATCACAGCTCAAGGACGAGGGACGTGCATTTTTGAATTTCTACGGGGGCCTGGTATTTGACTTATTTAGCGTTATTAACGCCTGGAGTGTTTAGGCTATGTGGGATTAATATATAATTAATTGCTTCACAAACATTGTGTATATTGCAGATCGACATTAAAAGAGGAAATATAGTGACCGGTATGCATCACCTGATCTACCTATCACATTTTGCATTAGCTGATATAACTCACCTGGCAAGACTAGGATAAGAATCTTTATTTATTGATCCCGCTATGATCAGCAGTGTATGCACATGTTACAATTGAATGAAAATAAAAGTATAAAAGTACCGAATGGGTGGATGAATGTTGAAATGAAGCGATACTTGTGTTTCAGCTATATCGCCTTGGCCTGTGAATAATCTGGGCTGAGACAGGCGTACCTGTGGTTGATAGCATGAACACCGATCAGCGCCCTGGCGTTCAGTGACGCACAATCAGCCAGGTCACGCATTCTAACCATCCGATCCCCACTGTGGTCAGTTCTTACAACAAGCATGGTGCAGATGGAGCATGTTAACAAGCTGAATCTCCATCAAGTTTTGCAAAAGTGCCTTCAGAAGATGGTATGGATTACACACGCGCAAACACTAAAAAACAGGAAATTCCATTAAGCACCGATGAACAAAATAATCAGTTAAAACTACTGCTGTACAGCAACGATGACATACATCACTAAAAGCAAACTAGAAGAGTCGCTACTCAACTCCTGAGGCACAACCACTCATGATCTAACACACATGAAAACAAGTTGAAAACAAGTTGAAGACAAGTTGAAAACAAGTTGAAGACAAGTTGAATACAAGTTGAAAACAAGTTGAAGACATAAATAAAAACGTATAAGATTATACAGAGCAATTTCAAATCGCCGTAACTACGCTACATGTAATACCAAGCACTATTACTTTTCAACAGACGGGCTGTTACACATTAAGTTGATACCAAGCTGACTCAAAGCTTCTCGTTCGGTGCTGTGATAATGACACATTCGCTCGCTTGGTATCAGCGGAAGATGCACGTACATAAACTGGCACTCACTGGCTGTTGCGTCACGTTTATCACCTAGTTTATGGAATGAGGCGGATCCATGCAAGTATTTGTAAACTGGTGCCCGGAGTGCGTTGCGATGCCTGTTTACAACACTTATTGCAGCAATCTGTGTACATTACTGAACGCGGTAAAAAGTTGTGATTAACTTGTGATTAAATACTTGGTGATACATAATAAAAGCATGATGATGGGCGTTGTCTAAAAACGGAAGGAGGTCATGGGACGGGCAAATTGAATAACAAATATGATTGACAATGGTAGTCATTAAGGATCACTTGTGGAGCTATACCCGTCAGCAAATTGTAAAGATTCCATGTAATTTGATGAAGACCTAATGCATTTGAAGTTCAAATGGGTGATGTGGAGGCAATCGGTATAAACAGAAATCTATCAGTTTCCACAGTGATTACGCTAACTTTCTATGAATTTCTAGTAATTCTAGAATCAGGTATTGGCCACTTCAAACGTAAATCGTTACTGGTGTAGATGCTGTTTAAGGTTTCATCAAGTACAAATTCAAATTTGTTGGTTGAACTATCTCAGACGAATATTAGAACTGTCTAAACACAGTAAGTAAGGAAAAGATATATGGACGAACAACTTCTTTTTTACAATTAGGAGCGACGTTTCTGTCTAGGTTCTAATACCGTTATCAAGCATGGGATGAGTCGGTTGATGGTTGAGATTGCCCGTCTCCATAAAGACGACAAATAATTTCTTTGAGAGGCATTTATAAGTTGGAGTACTAAGTAAGGATAAGATATATGGATGAACAACTTCTTTATTAACACCGTTATTCTAATTGTAATAAAGAAGTTGTTCATCCATATATCTTATTCTTACTTAGTACTCCAACTTCTAAATGCCTCTCAAAGACGTTATCTAAACACAATCAGATAATCATCCAATGACATCCATTGTTTATGTAATACGTGGCTAGAAAGCCTGGTCATTGTGTCATACATGTTTCCATAATAAAAAAAATACAATGAGATATTTAGTAACAAACAAATCATGACTGTCACGCCTAACAACAACTCGCTAATCCAGCCATTTCGTCACACCGCCATGCAGGAAGCATGTGACGGAAAACATTTCATCATGGCTTCTCTCATCACGAGTTAGCTCCCTTGCATCGTTACCTCCCTTGCATCGTTACCTTTCCAAACAAGTAAACATGGTAAAGCAGTCTTGTATAATGCTGCCTCACAAGCTGGGTGATTACCATGGTTATAACAATGTTCAATGTTGACACAACGCTGATTGCAACAGTTTAAGAATCTCTGTCATGTCTTACACACGACTGAGCTTATAACAAACCATATTTCAAGTACATGCAAAACAGTCACTAGGTTGCTGCTATGCATATGAATCGTCCACAGCTATTCTGTCCCGAAATGCTTTGTTCCTACTGCTGGCCTTGTGCACAACTGGTTCCGGGGCACCTGTATGACGACCTTGACCTAGGTAGAAGTCCACGTTGGATGTGTCGGGTGTGACGGCCGCAGGGGGTAAGGCAGGCCGTGAGGGGGACAGGTAGGCAGGGTTCTCCTCTTCGATACCCAGGCGGTCGGAGTAGTCGTTATACCCCACTGCAAAATTCAGAGAGACAAAGTTTTTAAGTTTAATGTCCAAGGGCATGTGCAAGGACAAGTCAAGCAAAGTCCTCGGGTATTATTGGACGACCATTATGTTTCATTTTTAATGTATACTACTCCAAAGAAGGTAAAGAACACCCGATCTTTTCATATCATTATAGTTGTCATGGCATGACAGATTAACTACACGTACAGTAATACGAAAAAATCTGGTGTTCTTCAGCATCTTTTGAGTAGAATATTTTCGAAAGTATTCAACACACGCATACTTTACAAGGCATTTTGCTAATTTTTATTTTTGAATAATCGGAATTATTCGTCATGAATTACGTCACGAATCATCCATCTCGTCAAATCAGCTTTCTGTGAAAAGGAGGGATACTTTTTGTGTATGGTTGTATGTGTGTATGTATATATGGACTGATGTGTGAATGGATGGATATAGGTATGGTTGTATGTGTGTATGTATATATGGATCGATATGTGTATGGATGGATATAGGTATGGATGTATGGTTGTATGTGTGTTAGTATGTTTGGATTGAGGTGTGTTTGAATGGATATAGGTATGGATGGACCTGTGTATGTATAATACGGATTGATTTATATTTGATGGATATAGGTATGTATGTAGGTTGGTATGTTAGTATGTATGCTGGTTATACATGTAGGTTAGTATACACGATTGATGAATTAAGTTAAGTGTGTATGTGGACGCATATGTGTATAGATGTATGAGATTGCCGTGAGTGTTTTGTATGAGATTGATGCGAGTGTTCTGTATGAGACTGTTGTGAGTGTTTTGTATGAGATTGCTGTGAGTGTTCTGTATGAGACTGTTGTGAGTGTTTTGTATGAGATTGCTGTGAGTGTTCTGTATGAGACTGTTGTGAGTGTTTTGTATGAGATGATGTGAGTGTTCTGTGTGAGACTGTTGTGAGTGTTTTGTATGAGATTGCTGTGAGTGTTCTGTATGAGACTGTTGTGAGTGTTTTGTATGAGATTGCTGTGAGTGTTTTGTATGAGACTGCTGTGAATGTTCTGCATGAGATTGCTGTGAGTATTTTGTATGAGATTGATGTGAGCGTCCTGTATGCTTACCTGTTTGTATGCTTTGAATATATTTTGAAGCGGGATTTTAATGCGGATGTAGGTGTGGGTGTGGGTGTGTGGGTGTGGGTGTGGTCGTGGGTGTGGGTGTGGGTGTGGGTGTGGGTGTGGGTGTGGTAATATACACAGTTATAACTAATTTTTCTTTTCTTTTTCTCTTTTTCTCTCTCTTTTATATTGTAAATGTACCATTATGTAATTAGTGCCAACTGGCCGGGTGCTGGGTTTTTTAATGAAATATTTATATGTCTATATATTTTGTACTGCAGCATGTGACACTCTAATAAAACAATTTTCTTCTTCTTCTTCTTCTTCTTCTTCTTCTTCTGCATGCACATTCACACTCAGTGATATAGGTTATACTGATCGTATATCACCATATAAGTTAGTGATAGTGTTTTGAACGCTTGCTCTTAGCATACCCATTACCGATTACATTTTTTAATGTATATGAGATTAGTATGCTTCAAAAAAGGGGGAGATGGCACCGCCCTACCTCTGGATCCAAGTATTTTGTACCATATCACTCTTTGAGTGAGCAGGTTAGCTATAACTTCAGTGTATAAAATTTCCCAAACGTTCAGTCAGACAACGGACTCGCAACTTTGCAAAGTTACCAAACCAGTTAAAATGTTGCCAGTTCTGAATTTTCGAGACTAACAATCAAAAGTAAGAAAAGGGTAAACATAAGAATAGTATTGTTTAATGTTAGTTCTCAGAAAATAACTGATGAATTATCAACTTAGTAACTATAACTCATTGAAAATTATATTCATCAATAATGTTTAACTTTTACAGTTAATGTACGTCTATTATCGAATTAAAACTAGAATGCTAGAATACAGTAATAACCCGACCGTCGGGAGTGCAACTTTTCAAAACTGACCGTCCGTCAACAATAATGACCGTCTCGGACTATGGGCAGGCGGGTACCGTATTCGACGTAATAAGCGACCCGCTCTAATAAGCGCCCACGGCGATATTTGTTAATATATTGGCTAGTGAACATTCCAAATTAGCACCCCTTCCCATTGATCAATGTACACAAGACTTATTTATTTGTGTATAATGCGTGTGTCATATGCACCCTCAATTATGGGCAATTACATTCTGGAATAATATATCTGTTGTATGTAAAGATTTCAGGCTGTCAGCATAAACCTTGAAATTTACGATTTTTCAACTGTTTTTTTTTTCACCAAAATAATATTCTAATAAGAGCCCCCTATTTCTAATTTTGAGAGAGCCCTGTGCGCTTATTACGTCGAATACGGTATTTTTAATCACTGGTATAAGGCAGCTTTGAGCAGTGTTTCCGTTTTATCACTGCGCGTTAGCTAAATGTTCGGAAAAGGAACCGAGTGACTCTGACCTATACGATCACCACAACCACAAGATGAACACATAAGCACGGCTGTTATACTGCCGACGGGTCATCGATCAAATCGGGGAAATCTAGAATTCGAAACTCGCTACTATCTACAACATTCTATCCGTTTCATATATCGCCCAACGCTTACTATTTCGACCCCTCGAAGATCCAGGGTAGAATAGGTCTTCAGCAACCCATGCTTGCCGTAACTGGCGACTATGCTTGTCGTAAGAGGCGACTTACGGGATCGATCCCAATTACGTGGATCGATGCTCATGATATCAATCACTGGATTGTCTGGGCCAGACTCGATTATTTACAGGCCGCCGTCATATAGCTGGAATATTGCTGAGTGCGGCGTTAAACAACAAACAAACACACGTTACTATTTCATACTTGCATCTACTGCTCTATCTATCTTTAATATGCTCGTTTATCTCCGTTTCCGTATTTCACTTACTTGGGTTTTGGTCAGTAGGTAAATCGCCTTTTCCACTACGGGTGGTGATCCGAGTGAGGGTTTTCCGTGTGATCTGTGGGTTAGCGTCAGGAGGAGGGTCAGATGGGTCAACAATCGTGTCTCTCCACATCACCTGGTTAGTCTGCATTCCGGTGTGGGGGTCCGTCCCTGCCCTCATCACAGCCGACCTCTGCCCCGCGCCAGGTTCGGGAGGAGGTCCACCAGCGGCGATCACTGAAATGTCCATGGGGTCAATAGGGATATTTGGCCTATTTTTACGACCCCGTTTAGGGGTCAGAGCATCACCCGGGGTGGAAGTGTACCCTGGTCCTCCAGGATGATCCATCGCCGAGTAGTCGTCAGGGGCGTTTCGGTCACGCCGTTTCTTTTTGGAAGCTTGTGATGGTTCTTGTGAAGTGGTCATCATGAAACCCTTCTTGACAGGACCCTGTGGCGTGTCCTGAACATACCATGCAGCCTGGCCTGCCACCATTGGTTGCTGGTCTGTTGGCATCCCCGTCGCAGGCGCCCCTGGCATTGGACCCATTTGATAGTAGGCATAGTTTTGGCCTGGCATCGGAGCAAAGCCGCCGGCCATTGGCATCATGCCGTAGGGCATCCCGTACTGGTTGGGGTACATGGCGTCATAGCTGGGGGCGCCATAGGCCGTGTAGGGGAGACTGGCTGAGGGGTCATAGGGGGCCTCGGGGGCTGAGGTTGTGAATACTGGTTCTTGAGCTTCAGGAGGGAGGTCGGAGCCTGGGATGTTTCCATCTTTACCCCGCTTCTTCTTTCTCTTTTTTGCAGAGGGGGACGCTTTACTGGGATTTGGCATGTTTAATTCGGGTTCACTTTGTAAGTCCATGGAATCAGGATTCACGCCTTCATTGTCACTATCCGGGAAGAAATGTTTATCATTACTTATATCCCCCTTTGGTCCAGAAGGAGGTGCAGCGTTCAGTAAGGACTCAGTCGCCTCTGCAACGTCCATGCCTTCCCCTTCAGGAGCACCAGGGTGGTCGGCATGTTTCTTCCCTCTCTTGCTCCCTCTTGTGCTGTCTCTGTCGCTCGATCTCAGCTTAGTGCCACCAGGGGCATCTCTGGCAAAGGAGTCATATCCCGGTTGACCTGGTTCCGCCTCGCCACCCTTCTTACTCCCCCTACTTCCTCTCGCACCATTGTCTCTTTTGAATGTACCTTGGCCTTCTTCACCTTCACCCTGACCATCACCTTCACCTACATAAGATGACCTCTGACCTCCCTGACCTTTACTTCCGGTGCTGGCACGTTTGCTTCCATTTCTCTCAAATGTCCCTTCGTCTTTCTTCCATTCAGCTGCGTTGCCGTCTTTATCCATATTCAACTTGACATTAGCGTCTCTATCATAAGGTTCGTAGGAATCATCATAAGCAGAGTCCAACCTCTGGCCATTGCCGGATCTGTATCCTTGACCTTGGCCTTCCATGTTTAAGTTGTTAAGTTGTCTACCTCCTTCGTTACCGTATCTATTTTCATTTTTCTGATAGAAATTCCTGCCCAGTTTTCTCGGTTGACTTGGCGTGTACTGTCCATTGGTTACACTAGTCCACACCCCGGGGTCTCGATAGTCAATAGCAGAACCTAGAGACTCGGACTTTTCCAAGTGGCCTCCATTCAGCTCTCCCATAGATGTTGTCTTGGTAACGGACATATTGTCGTCTTCGGCATAACCTCCACCGTAGTAGTTGCCGAACCTGCCCGATTTGTAGCACCAGAGGATGAGGATGGCCACGACAAACAACGCCACGATGCCGATCACGATACCAATGATTGCTCCAGGGGACAGCTTGTTGGTGCCTTGTACGTATCCACCTTCATCTATGTCACCTGGAACACAAGATGGCGAGATGACTCATACTTTTCATCAAACCACAGTGTGTTTCAATTTCTTTCTCTCTCTTTGAACTCTCCATAAACAAATCAAAATATTTTACGTATGTTTCCAACGTATAGAAACATCCACAAAAACGTGTTCATATAAGGATTAATTTTTTTTAATGTGGATTGAAATGTACAAAACATCACCAAGCAAGCGTAGCACACGGAGACTTACGGTAAGTTCTGATCTTGAAGGTAAAGGCGTATGCTGTCTGGTAGAGTATAGAGGGTCTAGTAAACCTCACAGTTGCCTCCCTTCCCTCGGTGTACAGCGTGTCCGTGCTCATACTGTTGCAACCAAGACTCCTCTGGAAACAAGTGAGTGATCGAGTTGGGTTTAACGCCGCTTTTAACAGTGTTCCAGTCATATCGCGGCGTGTCAGCTTAATGTGGGAGGAAAGCCCGAAGTTATGCAGGTCTCAGAGCACGGGTATGGTGCTGACAAACCTAGAAACATAATTGGGGCGAACCGAGATTCGAAACCACAATCATAGGTTTCTGGTGTGCCCAAGGGACGCAACTCTGCACAGCGAATCGCGGCGCCTGAGACGACTGGGCCACCCGTGCCCCCCCCCCCCCCCCCCCCCCCCCCCCCTGGAAACAAACAATGGGTACAGTGGCGGACCAAGAGGGGGTATTCCCCCACCCTACTCCACTTCACCCCCAAACCACCTCACTTTAATCTGATGACATTTCCTACCATGATAACATGTTGATTTGCCTTTTAAGTGAGTGAGTATGGTTTTACGCCGCTTTTAGCAATATTCCAACAATATCACGGCAGGGGACACCAGACATGGGCTGCACACATTGTACCCATGTCGGGAATCGAACCCGGGTCTTCGACGTCACGAGCGAATGCTTTAACCACTAGGCTACCCGACCGCCCCGGCTGTTAAAAAGTAAAATTACTGATAAATGGCCCAAGTGGACCCCCACTCCCGTTTCTAAAATCCCGGACCCGCCCCTGGGGTTACATATGGGTGTTCCCAGTACAATCGAACGACAATGAAGTGAGTGAGTTGACTTTATCGTTCATTTAATTCCAATGCTGTAAATGCGGATAGTTTAATTTGGTAGTCGTACATGTTTATCAGTTTTGGCGAACCCAACGAACAGGGTATGCTGCTTACATACAGGATCATAATTAAGGCTAATCTAGGAATGGAATAACATGTCCTGCCAACAAAGGAACGAACTCCTCAAAATGAAATGAGTGTACTATGAAAATAATTCACTTGTGCAGAATTTCTGAATGACTGACCACCAAGGTTAATTCACTGGTGATATTCTAAATGTCATCTAAACCATGGAAACACCCCCTGTTTTATCAAGAGGTGAAATGGGGTTTAACGTCGGGTCCAAGATTATTGCACTTATATAGTGACGTGCATGTGCATGTGCGTGTGCTTGTACTGGGACTTTTATATTGCTAGCCCACGGAGACACCATGCCGCAGCTCTACGTGATTGGCTCACTCTTCCACAGCATACTGACTCCGAGCCGACCAGTCCTTGTTTGAGCCCCTTAATGCCGAGCGCCAGATAGGGTAACAACAAGTACCATCTTTTAACATCTTTTGGTATGACGCGGCCGGGAAAACAAAAACATATTGATCTCAAAATAAGGAAATAAATAATGCAACCGTAATACAGTTCGTTATTTTTATTTATTTATAAAAAAATAATGAGCACCTGTTTATGTTGGAAAAAATATTTGAGCTCGTAAATAATATAAAAGCTCATCTCAAACCGAAGTCCCGCCCAACACCTGAAAATCAAATAATTTCCTTAAGCTTCCCTAGAATAATTCCCCTTATAATTTCATGGAACATTCGATCTAGAGTACTGTGTCATTTCGAATGTGGCAGGAAGTACTTCCGATGGTGAATTGTGTGCGTTTATGGAACTTAGTAAGCAACAAATACACTCGCCAAAAGGATCAAACTCTGCTATCAAAGACAGCTTACCAGGTAGCTCCCGAAAGCTCCTCTGCCGTTGAAGACATCCACATGCACCTGGCAGTCCTGGATGTCTATAGCTTCGATGATGATCTGCAGACGATACCTGCCGTCTGACTCTGTGTAGCCAGACGTCAGGTAGACGGTACACTCAAGAGGGGGGTTGGAGGGGGCGGCGTTAGATCTGCCGTTCAGGACCACGTCCTTGTCGAAGACGGTGACGTCCTGACCGCATGTAGCCAAACGGTCCATGTCGTCTAGTATATTTAAGAGTTATATGAGAAAAGTATAAGTAAAATATATGATTTGGAATAAGGTGCTAGAGGAGAACACTGTCAAGGAGACATCTGTTTTTCATTTCACATATACAATGTACGCGAATGCAACATATTTTACTAATATATAGATTTGTTTCTTTTGTTTGTTTGTTGTTTAACGCTGCACTCAGCAATATTCCAGCTATAAGACTGCGGTCTGAAAATAATCGAGTCTGGACCAGACAATCCAGTGATTGACATCATGAGCATCGAAGCACGCAATTAGGATACGCTGACATGCATCAACCAAGTCAGCGAGCCTGACCACCCGACCACCCGTTGCTGAAGACTTATACTAACCCGGATCTTCACAGGTCTTACGATCTAAAGAGTGATTTACATTTTCCGTACATGTATATATACACAGACAGACAGACAGACAGACATATCCGTTCTACGCCTTCTGGGGGATAGGGTATAGACTTACCGCAGCCAGTCCACCATCCTCGCTCAGCATTAAATCTCAACCAGGGTATTTATCGTAATACAACGGGAATATATTAATACACTGGATAATCAATGATGAAATCACACCATATTCGACTCCGTTATCACATTGTTATATGTACATGTCCTTCCTATTAAACAAAGGAAAATGTGAACTCACAGATTCTGTCCTGGGCTGAAAGCAAGGTAGCCAGACTGGACATCGCCAGGACTACTGACCAAATTGAGATTGTATCCATGGTGCCACGGGACATTCAGGTCAAAGGGCAATTACTTTGACCACTTGGTCATAGTTTCTGGGAAGGAAAAAACATAAAGGTAACAGTTGGTCATTGAGAGATGTCCTATTTAATAGTTGTACATGGGGAGATAGTTGGTCATTGAGTGTTGTCCTATTTAATAGTTGTACATGGGGAGATAGTTGGTCATTGAGGGTTGTCCTATTTAATAGTTGTACATGGAGAGATAGTTGGTCATTGAGTGTTGTCCTATTAAATAGTTGTACATGGGGAGATAGTTGGTCATTGAGGGTTGTCCTTATTAATAGTTGTACATGGGGAGATAGTTGGTCATTGAGGGTTGTCCTATTTAATAGTTGTACATGGGGAGATAGTTGGTCATTGAGGGTTGTCATAGTTAATAGTTTTGGTTTGTTGTTTTACGCCACACTCAGCAATATTCCAGCTATAAGACGACGGTTTGAAAAGAAATCGAATCTGGATCAGACAATCTAGTGATTGACATCATGTGCATCGAAGCACGCAATTAGGATACGATGACATGCATTAACCAAGTCTGACCACCCGATCCCGTTAGTCGCCTTTTACGACAAGCATAGTCGCCTTTTACGGAAAGCATGAGTTGCTGAAGACCTATTCTACCCCGGATTTTCACGGGTCTGTCATAGTTAATAGATTAAAAGTAGGAGATTGTGGGTCCTTCTGGGTTGTCCTATTTAATATATGTACACTGAGGAGATAATTGGTCATTGAGGTGTGTCCTATTTTAATAGTTGTACATGGAGCAAACAGTTGGTCATTGGGGTTTGTCACAGTTAATAGATATACATGGGGAGATAGTTTGTCATTGAGGATTGTCCTATTTTAATAATTGTACACGGAGGAAATAGTTGATCATTGAGGGTATGCATGGAGGAGATAGTCGGTCATTGTAGGTTGTCATAGTTAATAGTATCTCAATTCCATACGAGGAATTAATTACAATGTTTATACTTAACTGAAATGACAACTGGTCGTAGAGCAGAACCAACCTAACTTTTCTCATAGGGACACTAAATGTCACCCCAACTGGAACTCACACGTTATCTCCCTTGCAACCTATTAGATAAGAATGCACTTATATATAACTTTTTGATCTTTCATATTATAAGGACAGTGGGTTTAATTGTGACCGTCGTCTTATGATCATAACAATGTAACAGTTGCTAATAGTGGAAGTCAATATGACGAACAGCCACACTCTATGACCATGATGACCTACACATGTTTATTCGTTAACCTTTTGAAAACTTTATCATGAATAAATCCTAGGTGGTACATGTGAACACATTCAAATGTCACTAACACTATTGTTCCTGGTTCAAGAGTTCACGGCACTAACATGTGAATAGGTGAATAGTATATTTCAGGAAGATTTCAAAACAAACACCATCCAATATATAGTTTGTATAAAGTATGGGACAAGATCGAGTTATTAGGACTCTGTTTTGATACACCTAGTATGTTAGATAATGATATACGTTACCTGTATTGTATATGGTAAGTAACGATCCCCGTTAATATTCACTTCCTCGAAATATTTTCCCACAGTGTCACGGCAGACGCCATATTGGACGATGACCTAAATATTTCAATTGTCACGACCTTACCTTGCTAGGCAATACTAGTCGATAACAGCGATAAGCCGTCGTGTTGTGGCACACCTGTCTGTCACTGTTCTTTTTCATTTTCATTTTACAATCAATAAATATTTTAAACAGCAGTAGAAACCTCACAGTGTTGTATTTTTACGATACGGTGTTATACACTCCAACTAAGAATTATCTTTCACTTTTATACGTTATTACTTAAATAATTGGGGGCAGCCCAGTCTTCTAAGGCGCCGCAATTCGCTGTGCAGAGTTGCTTCCCTTGGGTACACCTATGTGGGTTCGAATCCCGGTTCGCCCCGATCATGTTTTTAGGTTTGTGAGCACCAAGCCGCTGCTCAGTGGTTTTACCAAAGTGGAAAATTTCGGGTTTTCCTCTCACATTAAGCTGACACGTCGTGATATAACTGGAATGCTGTTCAAAGCGACGTTAAACCCAACTCACTCACTCGCCAAGGTTTTGTATGCTCTAACTAACAATACATCGGAAAATCATTTGAAAATGAAATTATTACTTCAATATTAAGAAAAAACATCCACTCTGGTATCTTGCAGTGAGTGAGTATGGTTTTACGCCGCATTTAGCAATATTCCCGCAATATCATGGCGGGTGACACTGAAAAAGGGCTAACACATTATACCCATGTGGGGAGTCGAACCCGGGTCTTCGGCGTGACGAGCCAACGCTGTAACCACAAGGCTACCCCACCGCCCCGCCGTCTTACAGATGGCCACGTATGGCGAAACTGTGGCTCCACATTGTACAGAGCGTTATACACAAGTACCCATAAACTCCGTGACACTGTGTGTTTCCTGATGGTATCGAGGGCTCACGAGAAACAGGCGTTGTTTATGACTGCAGTTTACTGGTTTACAACCTTGCATGTTCTGACCCGGGACTCAAGTCAACGTGTGAGTCACCAGCCCATCAAACGTGATATTACGCATACAATTGGTGGCACGGAAGTACAGCTTGACTTGTTAATGCGCAAGGTAAGAATATTAATTGGACCCGTGAAGATATCCGTGTTAGAATAGGTCTTCAGCAACCCATGCTTGCCGTAAAAGGCGACTATGCTTGTCATAAGAGGCGACTAACGGGATCGGGTGGTCAGGCTCGCTGACTTGCTTGATGCATGTCATCGATCCCATTTGCGTGGATCGATGCCCATGATATCAATCACTGTATAGTCTGGCCCAGACTCGATTATTTACAGACCGCCGTCTTATAGCTGGAATATTGCTGAGTGCGACGTTAAACAACAAACAAACAAAACAAACACATTTAACATTGACCTTGAAAGTACACTTCGGCACAATGTACAAGCGCGAATACATACTTTTGGAAAGAGGATCGAGGCACGGCTTTCTGGATTTGGCGTGGGTGTGGGTGTGGGTGTGGGTGTGGGTGTGGGTGTGGGTGTGGATGTTCAAAATGCCACTAAATGGTTTAGATATATGTTATGGTTTTATACGTCAGCATGATATCAGAGACCATACACCCATCGGTCTCAGATGGTATGTATGCTCAGTGCACCCAACCTATCCCACCACCTGCACCCTCTAGGTGTCCGTATGATGCAAAACATGCACGATTTCCTGCAGTATATGCGATACCTTAAAATGAACCCACAGACGAACCAGTAACTTTGTTCATGTGATGTCCTACAGCACATATAACCTGCCACTATCGGTATAAGTAAGTGATTGTTGTTTTTCGCCGCAATGAGGCTATATTCCAGCCGTAAACAATCGCATCTGAACCAGCAGACCCAGCAGACCAATGGGTGCGGTGATGGGTACCCTAGTGGTTAAAGCGTTAGCTCAGTACGCCGAAGACCTGAGTTCGATTTTCCACATGGGTAAATTGTGTGAAGTCCATTTATGGTATCCGAGGCCGTGATATTGCTGGAATATTGCTAAAAGCGGCGTGAAACCATACTCACTCACGCATACCAATGGTTGATAGCACGAGTAACGATCTCTGCCGTCGCTGTAATCATCCTTGCCACACATTGTGACCACTCGATCGTCATTGGAGTCGCCTATTGCGTCGAAAATTGTTTTACTGAGATCTATTCTTCACGGAAATAACATAAAACCCGGAAGGCGCCGTGTGGATGTAACAGTGTGCGAGTCAGACTGAAGGTTGAAGGGCACTCTTGTGTAATCAAAGACGTGTATGTGGATCTATATACGTCAATGGTGTACTTAAAGGGGAAGTGTACACGCAAAAATCACTTTCTTTCTTTTTCTAAACAAAACGCAATTTTAGAATTAGTTAGTATCTGTGTTTGAAAATGTACACTCATTTTTTTCACAGTGAAAGTAGGAAGCTCACAATAGTGTGAAAAGGATATGCCGTTATGAGGCCTTTGTTTTTCGAGCTAAACAGGCCTGAGTTATCCCCCTTAGATCATGACGTAATTGGTGCCAATTCAACTGGGTCCCTGTCTATTCTGAACGCAAAAGATATCAAGTACAAGTTTTCGGTAAAACAACATGGCCTACGATACACTCCGGCGCAGTGGTGACTCAGCATAACACTATGCTGGCTGGCATCTGAGACGCTAGAATCACACACCTGTACCTACACCACGTGAAGCGGCTCTAACAAAGCATGATGACGTCATAATGTTTATCAATTGGCACCAATGATGTCATATTGCAAGGGGCATAAGCCATGGTGTTTTTGTTATGGAAATAGAACACTTGGTAAATGTGAAAAATATAAATCGTTTTAATGCAAAACATATGTTAATTTATTGTGATATTTTTATATTTTTGTCTATGACACTTCTAGGTTAACACTTTTATTGTGGAAAAAGTACAAGAAAATTAGGTTCATTTCCGTGTGAACTTGCCCTTTAACTATATGACAGGGGACAGAAACCCCAAATAATTTCACGTCTTCGTAGCGTTTACAAAGTTCAGCTAATACTAGGCTAAAGGCCGTGTATAATTATATATTTCTGATGAGAATTAACGAAAACCCGCATGTAATTTGTCCGGGGCTGGTTTGTTTGTTGTTTCACGCCGCACTCAGCAATATTCCAGCTATATGACTGCGGCCTGTAAATAATCGAGTCTGGACCAGACAATCCAGTGATTGATATCATGAGCATCGATACACGCAATTGGGATCGATGACATGCATCAAGCAAGTCAGTGGGGCCTGACCACCCGATCCCGTTAGTCGCCTCAACAAGAATGGGTTGCTGAAGACCTATTCTACCCGGTTCTCACGGGTCTTTCCCGGGGTGGAATTATTAAGTTATCATACCTAGTATTTCAGGTAAACATTTTGTGCAGATAAGTTACGAGTGTCCGAAATGGCTGCCTGACCGCCATCTCGTGGTGTGTTCGTTAATTTGACTGGAACTTTCTCGGTTAATGAATTTCTGCTTGATATTAGCTACGTGGCCTTTGGTCAAATGGTCTATTATATTTCTAAAGATTGAACTAGATTAATTAAAGCATATATTTATTTATCCTAATTATGAAGAGACAGGATATATATGTCCAGAAACGAGTGATCCAACAAACATTCTGTAGAACAGCCACTGATAACATAACCGCAGGCAGTTTCATCCGGACGCCGTGGCTGCAGCGAGCGTCTCTTGCATACACACCTGAGTTTTATCGACTAGAGTCTCCTGTTGTGTCTCACCTGGGGAGCTATTTACAGAAAATACAAATGGCGTCTGGGTAGGAAGTGGTTGACACTTTGAATGTCCCCAAGACGTATTTGGAAAGGTAAGCTATGTTAAACGACATCCAACAGATTGATATTGTTATCAAGTCGCTGGAACACCTGAGTATTACTATGATGAGACATAGGAAGGCCAGCCCAGCTTGTGTGTTGGTATTATTCAGAAACGTCATTGCAATTCAAGAATTCAAGGCAAATATTGATCTAACTAGCACCAAATACATTCAGTACAGAAAAACAGACAAATTATTTCATTTAATTTTATTATATTTTTGTAGGGTGTGTGGTGTGTGTGTGTGTGTGTGTGTGTTGGGGGGGGGGGGGGGGGGGGGGGGGAGATAGGAGATAAAGTAGGTATCCTATAGTATGGCATACGGTGAAGACAAACACACAAAACCTTCTTCACTAATAGGGTTTTATTCTTAAGTGTACATTATTCTTTGACAAGTATTCATCAACATATCAGATGTTTCATGTCAAGTTTCTTCTTCTTTACCATTGATTAGGTTTTCTGTCCCAACCATTTCCAGCACTACTCGCATGTTCGTGGGTTTCAAAAGTGGCAATTTAAACATCTAGGACTCCTTTCCACATAAGGCTCACACTGCTCTGATATAACTGAAAACTGTTCAAACCAGTTTTAAACCCAACTCACTCACTCACTCCCACTATTTCCAATATGAAGTATAATTGAAATACTTGCCCCTTCACCACACCATGCAGGCACATGTAAAATTAAGTGTGGTAAAACTTCTGTCAGTAACCATGCCTTGACATATTTAAAAATCACAACCCCAGGCTAGAAGTATTACAATTCAATAATGTAGGGTGAGGCAAGATTTGAAGCTGGGGTTACTTGCGGAAATCTTTCCTTAAGTGCTTCCATCAGCATGGGGCGGTCGGGTAGCTTAATGGTTAAAGCGTACGCTCGTCACGCCAAAGACACGGGTTCGATTCCCGACATGGGTACAATGTGTGAAGCCCATTTCTGGTGTCCCCCGCTGTGATATTTCTGGAATATTGCTAAAAGTGGCGTAAAACCAAACGCACTCACTCACTCACTCAAAACCCACCCACCCACCCCCACACCCCCCCCCCCCCCACACACACACACACTCACTCACTCACTCACTCACTCACTAAGATCAGATTATTGGGAGTTTGTCATTATGACCTCGACTTTCTGATATCATTACAATTACCATAGGTTTGATATATCAGGGTCTTGCAGCACATGGCGTATCTACATAATATTACAAAATTATGTTTTTAAATCTGCTCTGGGAGCCAAACAGAGCTCAATATTTCATAATATGTGCCAACAATATTTTAGTACATTGTATCATTTCTTTAGGTGCACAGTTAGAATACCTATTTCTGTTTTACAGGTATGTCATAAGGAAAGTCCCGAAACATGGATCCCCACTGGACTGTGCTGGTCATCTTCTTGGTGACCCAGGTGGGCGTGGTCAACCCTCAAGGCACTGGTCCAGAAGCTACCCAGAACTTCCAGTGTGAGTATACAGTGTTAAAAGATGTGTGAAAGTTTATAAAGTATCTCATCATCATTCAGGTGTTTTCATGGCAATCAACACCTTTAAGTTTTGTGCAGTAAAAATTCTACTCTTAGGCTAAAAAAATAATAGTCTTGGTTCTCAGGCATGGTGCATCATCATAAAGTCTGCCCCACGTTCCGTTTTTAATTCCATTTTCAAAAAAAATATAAAAGCACCAATACTTAAAAACAATGCGATCCAATATAGCATTTAATTTCTTCCCTTTACATGAGCGCTGCTTTACTGCGCACCTCGTGTTATGGTCATGGCGGCAATAAGAGTTTGTGTGCATGTTTATGAAGGGAGGCCCTTTTCCAGGTTGATGGTACACAACTGTTTATTTGGTTATATACTCATTTGAACAAGCAAAAAAAAGACTCCTCAGCCCGATCGCACTATATTTTCAAAAGTCATTGCCTGAGAACCAATTCTTTTATTTTTTCAAGCCTAAATAATAGTTATCAACATTAATCCTAGTGGAGGAGATATCTTTCCTTGGCTGAGCTCTCTGTCCGTGATGCCTTCAAGTCTTCTGCCTGCATAAAATAAAAGGGAAAAAAGCTTCAATTTAAGACTATTATTTTATACTTATTCGTTTAACGCCCACTCATCTAAGGCGCCGCGATTCGCTGTGCAGAGTTGCGTCCCTTGGGCATGCCAAAAACCTATGATTGTGGGTTTGAATCCCAGTTCGCCCCGATTATGTTTCTAGGTTTTTCAGCACCATACCCGTGCTCGTGGGTTTCACCAAAGTGGTAAACATCTGAGTCCTGCATCACTTCGGGCTTTCCTCCCACATTAAGCTGATACGCCGCCATATAACTGTAATACTGTTAAAAGCGGCGTTAAATCCAACTCACTCATTCACTCTTATTCGTCTATCAACAGGTATTTATGACACAAAACTGTTCTCATTTACAGAGTTTCATTTAAAGCAGAGACCATATACCGATATATGGTCTCTGATTTAAAGTGAGATATTCTCAATAAATATTTTTCGTAAGGAGAATCCAGTGAGAGAAAATAATATGATCCGTTCTCTGCACCATGGTATTTCCATAACTCAGCTGTCTTTTCACCGACCCACATGCTATGAATTAATGTTCTGCAATGTAGGTAACTGACCCGTGAAGATCCGGGGTAGAATAGGTCTTCAGCAACCCATGCTTGTCTTCCCCCGTGAAGATCTGGAGTAGAATAGGTCTTCAGCAACCCATGCTTGTCTTCCCCCGTGAAGATCCGGGGTAGAATAGGGCTTCAGCAACCCATGCTTGTCTTCCCCCATGAAGATCCGGGGTAGAATAGGTCTTCAGCAACCCATGCTTGTCTTCCCACGTGAAGATCCGGGGTAGGAAAGGTCTTCAGCAACCCATGCTTGCCGTAAAAGGCGACTATGCTTGTTGTAAGAGGCAGCTACAGGATCCGGTGATGCATGTCATCGTATCCCAATTGCGTGGATCGATGCTCATGATATCAATCACTGGAGTGTCTTGTCCAGACTCACTTATTTACAGACCACCGTCATATAGCTGGAATATTGGTGAGTGCGATGTTAAACAACCAACCAACCAATGCATGTAACCCGACTCCATCACCCGTACAACCTTGAATCTACTGGTTGTGTTATTTTGCTGTATGCTTGCAGTTTACATGGACACTACTCGAGACTGCAATGGACCAGTGTACAATGTGTTTGTGTTATTTTGTTGTATGCTTGTAGTTTACATGGACACTACTCGAGACTGCAATGGACCAGTGTACAATGTGTTTGTGTTATTTTGCTGTATGCTTGCTGTTTACATGGACACTTCTCGAGACTGCAATGGACCAGTGTACAATGTGTTTGTGTTATTTTGCTGTATGCTTGCAGTTTACATGGACACTACTCGAGACTGCAATGGACCAGTGTACAATGTGTTTGACAAGCAGGCTGTACTGAGAGGCCAGAGTTCCGCATCTATACAACAAAGTCCTCTGACATGTACAATAAAGTTGAACACAGAGAACAACTTTGAGAAGACGACATTCCGGGTGACCGTCAATGCCATGAATATTGATGATTGTGATGTCACTTTTGCAATATACGATGGAGAGCCTGGGCAGCCATTGATAGTAAGTTACCATGGTAACCTTCAGTAAGTGCCGATTCAGCTTTTTTTTTTAGAAAGGTCTGTTTTTAACATGCAAGTGTAAAATGAGGGCAATAAGCTGTAGAGCATCAGAGTTCAGATAAACTGTGTATTTGTGTACGGATAATGTAAATCACTCTCTAGATCGTAAGACCCTTAAAGATGCGGTTTAGAATAGGCCTTCAGCAAACCATGCTTGCCATTAATGGCAACTATACTTGTCCTAAGAAGCGATCGGGTGCTTGATGCATGTCATCGTATCCCCATTACGTGGATTGATGCTCATGATGTCATTCACTGGATTGTCTAGTCCAGACTCGATTATTTACAGACCACTGTCGTATAGGTGGAATATTGAAACCAACCCAATTATATAACAAAACTGGACGTAAGTACCCAAAGTAGCCTTTTCAGCTTCCATGCCTATATTTCTTTACAGATTCTTATTTGTTATGCAAAGTAAATTCTCTGGAACCCTGAGCATTATACTTTAGGTAGTCATCTTGTTTTGGTTGAAACTTATCACCATTTGAGTTGGTAATAGTATTGTATTTGTGAGTGAGTATGGTTTTACGCTGCTTTTTATATTGGCTTCACATATTGTGCCCATGTCGGGAATCAAACCAGGGTCTTCGGCGTGACGAGCGAACCCTTTAACCACTTGGCGACCCGGCCGCCCCTAGTTTTCGGATGCCAATAATGAATAAAAAATTGAAATGTATGAATATTGTGTATGCTTCAAAAGGATCCGTGTATGACCTGTAATTATGCACCACTGCCTCAGGTTAGATGGGTGGCCCAGTCGTCTAAGTCACCACAATTCACTGTGCAGACTTGCATCCCTTAGGCATGCCAGAAACCTATGATCGTAGGTTCGAATCCTGGGGGGACACGGGTGGCCCAGTCGTCTAAGGCGCTGCGATTCGCTGTGCAGAGTTGCATCCCTTAGGCATGCCAGAAACCTATTATCGTGGGTTCGAATCCTGGCTTGCGTCTATTATGTTTCTAGGTTTATCAGCTCCATACCTGTGCTCGTGGGTTTTGCCAAAGTAGTAAATGTCTGAGACCTGCATCACTTCGGGCTTTCCTCCCCCATGAAGCTGACACACCATGATACAACTGGATACCTGTTCAAAGCGGTGTTAAAGCATCGATGCTCATGCTCAATCACTGGATTGTTTGTCCCAGACTCAATTATTTTACAGACCACCGTCATATAGCTGGAATATTGCTGAGTGCGGCGTAAAACAACAAACCAAACCAAAAAACCATTAGTCACTTTTTATGACAAGCACAGGTTGCTGGGGACCTATATTTTCACCCCATGCTTGTCATAAAAGCAAATGAAAATGAGATTCATTTGTCAAGTTGGTCGGCCAGGCTGGTTTCCTGTCAACATTAATCACTGATTGTTGATCATGAATTCAGGCACAATTGTTTTTGTTTGGCCCAGACTTGATTTATTTAAAATCAATCACGAAAATGCTGGAACATTGATGACTGCAGCGTAAAACAACATTAACTCACTCCATGTTGCCATGGTTACTGGTTTATTCATTATGACACTGTTGCCTTTAACCTTATTTTTGTTGTTATATCCAGGATTCCTATGACTGCAACAAAGGTAAAACTCGCACAGAAATGTTCACGACTGGAAATCGAGTGTCCTTTGTGTTGACCAGACGTGATGAACGAAACACGAGATATGACATTGAGGTGATAGCTAAACCACTCGTAGGTAAGTGCCATGTTGCATGTGTGTAACGACTTTTGTAAAGAAATAATGGGATGGATACAAAGGGATTTGTGTGTGACATGACATACTAGAGGTTCACAGAATTAACTGTATACAGCAATTTGAAATACCAATGAATATGTATCACAATACGTTGGACAAATCAGAGCTCCAGATAAGCTTTTGGTGTTGTGGGTATTTTACCCATGCATTTTAAAATCAGTAATTCTATCTGGGTATTAACATTTCTGTTACCCACTAGTTTTTACACATGTGGGTATTTTAGTTAAATATTTAAAAACACTCTTCATCTAGTCCCTGCAAACTGGTGTCGTGTGGGTTTGAGAGCTTTGTAGGACTAAAAAATACCACGATATTTCCACAAGAAAGTGTGATGGCAAATGATCATGATGTAACTGTCATCGTGGAGGTTGACAGAATGCCCGTTTATAATTTCAAAATAAGTTGCTGATTTGCTAATCGAATACGCAGGGTTACTTCTCAATATTTTGATGATATGCCCAACAGAGAGCAAATCTAAAATATTAACATGTGGACATGTTAATCTTTTTTAAGAAAAATCTGAAATGAACGCTTTTTTATCTTGTGCATTTTATTCTTGGCCTTCTGTTGGCTGCTGAAAGTGTTCACTCCTGTGTAAAGTCTGTTGGTACTGTCAGGGATTTTTCAGTACAGAATTAAAAAAAACATCAAGTCATTTAGGGTATTTTTGTTCAGGCTCATAACAAATTACAGATGTAAGAACGCATGCAATTTATTGTGGTATGTATCGCAATACATTAATATTTATTGCAATATATTGCGATATGAAAATCAGGCCAATACCCCTTGGCGTTTTATGTGATAGACTCTGTTCGGTGTTGTTCATGCTATCAACCACTGGTTTGCCTGGCCTTGGCTTTAAGGTTAATATGCACAATTACAATTTGACCATGGTAACACAACATTCACTCCTTTGCAAACATATTTGGCCAGTGAAGATCCAGGTGGAATAGGTCTTCAGCAAGCCATGCTTGCCGTAAGAGGTGACTATGCTTGTCGTAAGAGGCAACTAACGGGATCAGGTGGTCAGGCTTGCTGACTTGGTTGATGCATGTCATCATATCCCAATTGTGTGGATCGATGCTCATGATATTAATCACTGGATTGTCTGGTCCAGACTCTCTTATTTACAGACAGCCGTCATATAGCTGGAATATTGCTGAGTGCGGCGTTAAACATCAATCAATCAATCAATCAATCAATCAATCAATCAATCATCATGCAAACATACTTGTTTCAGCTGGCCAGGATCCAGGATACGAGAATGGATTTGGTGATGATTACGGCTACTACAACAGGCTTGTCCCCAACATGGTCATCTACATCATCGTCGGCGTCTTGTTCTTCATCATCATCGTCGTCATCATCATCGTGGGTATTGTCTGTCACAGAAGGCACAAAGGCCTGAACAAGCCGGCGGAGCGCTACAACATCTCCTACATCAACACTGGCACCAGCCGCGGGCCAGCCAGCACCAACACAAGAAACTGGGTGAGCACGTCGAGGACCTCCCTGCAGCGGGATCGCAACCAGAAACACAGGCATCACAGTGATGATGACAGCGTGTTTGATGGATCAGGTTGGTTGACATCAACAATTGTTTCATAAACTGGTCTGTAGTGAAGTCTTTGATAGGCATTTAGAAGTTGAATGGGGCAAGAAGTATCCCTGGCACATCATTACAAGCAAGAAAGAAGTTGTTGTTCATAAAAAAATTCATGTCTTCTCTTCTGTACAATTTTTCAGTTAGTGAGTGATGGAGTATGGTTTTTTACACCGTTTTCAGTACTATTCTAGTGATATCACAGCAGGGCACGCCAGAACTGGGCTTCACACATTGTAGGCTACCTATGTGGGGAATCAAACCCGGGCCTTGGGCATGATGAGCCAATGCTTTACCCATAGGGTTGATAGGTTTTCCAGGTCCATCAGGTGTTATGTATTGATCTTTTCAGGTTGGAAATATAGGCGGTTTTATTCGCCTAATTCACAGGACCACCTGTGCAGCCATTCATGTCAATCGCAACATGCATTGCGCAAGGGAGTGATCATAGTTTCCGCTGAAGCGAGTTTTAATTTATGATTACAGGTATGGAGAGCTAAGATATTACACTAGTCAGAAGGGATAGTCAGAAGTAGTGAACACACGTTTTGGATGAGACCAAGTATAAACAGCTTCCGTCAGTGGTGGTCGTCTAAGGCACTGCAATTCATTGTACTTGGGCACGCCAGAAACCATCGTGGCAAATGTCTAAGACCTGCATCACTTCAGGCTTTTCTCCCATATCAAGCAGGCAAGCCATAATATAACTGGAATGGAGTTCAAAGTGGCGTTAAAAACAACTTACTCAATCACTTCTTTCGGGGGTCGGGGAGTTGTTGCAAAATTAGTTACTCAGTTAGTTACTGCATGATTGAAATGGTTGGGCCTAAATGGGCTGTCAAACCGAATCTTTGAAGTACAATTATTGTAACACTCAGAAGTTTCTTCCAATCTGAAACCGCAATTTTATAAAATCTTTCAGCATTATTAATTATTAGTAAAATATCAAATGTTTTTAAAACATTAGTTGGGGCGGTCAGGTAGCCTAGTGGTGTTAAAGCATTTGCTCGTCATGCCGAAGAGCCGGGTTCGATTCCCGACATTGGTAGAATGTGTGAAGCCCATTTCTGGAGTCCCCGGCTGTGATATTGCTGGAATGTTGCTAAAAGCGGGATAAAACTTGACTCACTCACTCACTTAAAACATTTGTCAATTAAAGCAATATAGAAAATGCTCTAGCATTATTAATAAAGAGCACTCTGTAATTAACATTCATTGTCAAAAAGCAATTATAAAGGTTATTAGCTTTGGTATGAACAAATCATCTTACTGCTGACATTTCATCCCTTTCCCTTCAGTCGATTCAATGCCAAGTAAGAAGAGGTATGATGCTGATAAGTCATTCGACACTTACCAGTCCCAGGGTAGGAACTACCGACCTGATAGACACGATGTGAAACAAGACAGATACAGGAACCCCTCCTACGATGATGAGCATCCACCAAGTAGATTCATACAGCGAGAAATAACACCTCGCGCCAAATCCAAGCCACAGAAATATGAGCCGGAGGAGGAAGAAGATGAGGTGGAATCAGTGGGAGTTGGACCTGATGAGGAAGAAGAGGAGGAGGTGGAGGAAGAAGAGACGGAAGAAGAGGAAGAAGACGAGGAGGAGGAAGAGGAGGAGGATGATGACGACCAGGAAGATGCTGGTGAACCATCACAGCCGCAGCCTCTCAACCTGCCTGAACATCCACCTCCACGTCTCGGGCATCCTTCCATGTCAGGGATCCCTCAGCCCATACCCAGACACCCTCATGACCAGCCCCACTCCTACCCAGCAGATCCTCGCCACATGCCAGTGAACCCTCAGCAGATGGCTGGACCCTACGGTCCACGCTTTGTGATGTACCCAGGTCAGCCTGGACCTCAGTTCATGCCCATGGCTCCAGGACCGGGCCAGTTCCAGCCGATTCAGGGGCACCCGAATATGCCCCCTCCAAGGTATCCAGGTGATGGTGGACAACAGCAACCACAGAAACCTTTTGAAGTGAAGCCCAGTGATCCCCCGATCTACTCCTACTTGGTCCAAAGAGGCTACCACCCAGTTGATGGGCGGGACTCCCCTGTCAGTGTCTCCACCAATGCCAGCGGACACTCTGACACCCGTCTTATTCAGCCTGACGACTCGGATATGTCCTCCCATAATTTGGCTGCTGGCGTTGAGTTTATGAGGCGATGATAAGTTGATTAGCAAATACAATATCAGGATGTACACGTAAGTACTGAAGTATCAGTATTGTGACTAGATTAGGACATTTTTGGATGTTTGAGTCAAGGGATCTGTTAGTAATGTACATGAGCAGTCTACCAGTATGTCCAATGACCATTACATCCTCTGTTATTTGTACTTGTAATATAGGATATTGTATTCCTTATAACTATGTATTGCAAACAGGTATACCTGAGATCTCACATGTGGATCTGCCCATGTGCACATCACTGTTGTGGGAAGAGTGAATGGTTTCTGAGGATTGCATTGTATAGCTTCATACTAGGGCTGGGACGGGTAACTCGGATACTTGGGTCGGGGAGTTCCAGTGTAGGACCCGGATACCCACAGGACTACCCGGACCCGTGGTTAGTCACGTGATACATTGCTAAATGGCAAAAATGATCTAGAACTTCCACGGTTACACTATAAGTGACTAAGGTTCACATATCTTTCTGACTCTGCACGCATTCCTTCTGACTTTATATGTTTGAATAGAGATAAAACTTCAGTCAACATCAGTGAATGCATGACCTGATCGTTTTATACTAAATACATTTTGCCAAGGCTACGGTCAAACAATTCCCAATCAGACTTTTGGACCTATCTGTTAAGACCTACAGCGGGTACCCGGGTAGGGTCGGGTAATAGTGGGATGAGTACCCGGGTATTACATTTTGACTCGTCCCAGCCCTTTTTCATACTGTACATTGTTACTCTTTGCTCACATACAATAAATTTAATCTGATACTTACAGGATGTAGGGCTGGGACGGGTAACTCGGGGTAGTCGGGGCGGGTGGGTCCTGAGTAGGACCCAGGTAACCACCGAACTACCCGAACCCATGGTTGGTCACATGATATACTGTTTGATGACGATAACAATAAACCTCCATGGTTTGACTACAAGTTGCCATTGTTCACACTTCTTTCTGACTATGCACGCATTCCGTCTGACCTTTTTAGGTTTGAGTAAAGATAAAGGTCCAGTCAACTTCAGAGTATGCATTATCAGGTCGCTTTGTACGTGTATCTTAATAGTTTTGGCCTGGTCTGTGGTAAAAGAATTCCCATTTGAACATTTTGTACCCAGCTCTTGAGACCTACAGCGGGTACCCGGGGAGGTACGGGTAGTAGGGTGTCGGGTACCCAGGTGATAAATTTGGACTCCCAGACCTAACAGAAAGGAATATAAATCCCCTTTTCATGCTTACCAATGCAGGAAAAACGCAATGTAAAACACCTTTCTCATCACCATATTTCCAAAATGACCAGATCACCATGTTTTCCCCCTTTTTTCCAAAGTAAGCAGAAAACTCATAAGCATGCAGTGCGACATAGTTTAGACAAGGAAAGATAACTGTTAATATCCCGATAATGTTGATAAATTCATCAAGTTATGTTACTACCCCACTTTTTAACCAGACAAATCCCAATTTTGGTGATTGCTTTGTAAAACAACCATTCATCACTTGGCAGCACATGGTGCTGTTATATCAGAACCTGTAATGTCCTCTATGGAGACTAAGGTGCTCATGCACGTTGAGACGCCCAACGCTTACACCGTATTCGTGCGTGCGTGATTCCCGTGCACTCTTTCGAGTTGAGTTGATTGGTTCAACTGTGTCATATGGCCCTGTGATGCAGGGGTAGCATTATGCAGATGGCTGTTACAATGAATGCTCGTTCCACCCGTGACAAACAGGTCTGGTTGTTACTGAAATATAGTGACAGCTAAATAGACAGATTTTTTATTCATGCACCGATTGTCTTTTAAAGTAATATCTAGTTATGTATGACTGTTTAATAATCTCATACCAACTTTGACTGGAGCAGGTCCGATAGTTTTTCAGATATTGTAGTAAACGTCGGTACCTTAAATTACCTTCCAAACTATACAGGGGAATGAGGCCTTGAGTGTCCTGCAGAAGGGTTGCGAGTCTGCTAAGCAGAGTTACGCTGATGAATTAGATAGTGTATAGTTATATTAATGGATCTGTTTACCGTTTACTGACATATTCCATTAAGAAATAATTCCAGTAGATTTGTTTGATCTCAAATCTGAATTGCATGTCATAAGTAATGGGTGTATTTTCAATACCAAATTTATCAAATGATACTAACTGATCATGACTCGTTTCTGTCATGCCAACAAATGGAGATTATTTAAAGGTGAATTACTTGTGAATATCTTGCCATGACACTGAAAGCAATGCATGTACATTTGTATTACTCACATGTCTCAATAACAACTGCAAGTCCTGATCAATCATGTCAGTGTTAATAGTATAAGTAATGCATGTTAATTATGAACTTGGAGAGTAGTCAGTCACATCACCTGAGCTTTCAGCGCCCACATTTGTGAGACCCAACCTTTGTTTCCAAGATGAGTGTTGAAATATGCACTGTAAGCAGTGTTCAAAATAGCTGCAAGCCTGCCTGCTAGCCTGTTGCTTTCAAAAATTCAGAAGGCTCAAGATTCTATGATGTCACACAGGCTCCTGAAAATTTAATGGTGATTTGTGTATGTGTAATGAGTATCAATTGATGCTTTCAGCATGTTGAGATGAACTAGAACAGAAGCCAGTTTTGAATAGTTTACTCTAATTGGCTATACTCTTTCACACTATACGATTCAGATTCAGAATTTCATATCAGCCCTGTGATACAACTAGTATCTTGTCGTTGGAGTAAAGTAGAATATTTGTCTCATTATTTGCAATTTGGGTATACTTTATTTATACTGTATTAATAACACTTCTGGAAAAATAAACTGTTGCATATTTAAGTGAGTAAAATCTGTTATTGGCTAATAACTTTTCTGGCCCACCTGGGTAGCAACATTTTGAGGCTATTTCATACACAGAATGTAAGGTCACTACATGATTGGTCAGTAATGAAAGCAATGAAAATCAAGGGCAGGTTTAAAACTGAGATCGCAAGAATCACAGGAATGATGCAAGGGTTAGTGTAGGTTTACAGAAATCTTTCTCTGTGAGGGAATTCGTGAATTAATATTGAAGCTTGTTTGTGCCAGAAGCAGAAAAATTACATGATTAAGGTGTTTATTGGTGCTGATTGTCATTAATTATGATTTATTTCCTTTACAAGGAATTTTAGCAAAAATGATATGCAGATTTTATACTACAGGAAGTAAAGTTATTGAAGATGTGAACTAGAACAAGAGTTAAAAATAAATATACGTCAATGCATTGTATAACAAGTCTTAATTATCCACCGAAACAGTCCATTGGGCGTAAAAAGCAGAATAGTGAAAATGATACAAATGGATCAATAAGAATCACGGAGGACTCCAGGTGTTCAGAAAAAATGTTTAAGTTTGATGTGAAAATAAAATTGATTCCTACATGTTAGGTTTTCCCGCCAAAATGTCTGTTGAGGCCATAAGTGTGACCTAGAAGACAAACCCATGACCTCTATGACCGATGCTTTGTCACAGATTACCATCTTGACCATGATGTCGCATGATTGATTGGAAATCCTTCTTTTGTAAGATATCAGAAACAAGATGACCATATTAGAGACCATATTTCATTCTTATGTCCACTGTACAAAATCATTCATCATAGTTAGGATTCATTTTATTCACTAACACACATCATACAGTAGACTAACATCTAGTCTCTGAAATGAACACATCTTACATAAAAAAAACAGTTGTTCAGTTATCTTAATAAAAATATAATAAAAAGGAGCCCAGTGACTCTCTTCATTTCATACTGCAGTGACATTATAGACTTGCATGGGCTGTATTTGATATATATTTGTATCAGGGTCTGTAAGACAGACTAATCATACAGACTAACTTGTAATGGTCACCTTTTCCACATAATGTTAAGACCATATTTTTCTTGCATGTATTTGTTCAATCTCCGAAATGATTTAATGGTCTTGACGGGTTATGGTGGAGTCAAGTCTTCACATGACCAAATATTGAAGTTGGATCATCATTGTTGATTTACCCGTATTTTTTTGTACAATTTGTAAATAAAAATTTCATATACAGATCAACTCATCGCAATAGTTGTTTTTTATACTAAAGACAAATTGTTGGAAGTTCCAAGATGTTAAAACCTGCATCACATGACCCAGCTTGAGTGAGTGAGTGAGCGAGCGAGCACTACCTGATCATGTAGTGATGGGAAGCTATTCTGCCCTGGCATCTCCACAGAGATACGAGCATTGCACGCTGGGGTGATTTTTATGACACTCAATTAGGCTAAGACAAAAAATATATCAAATATTGAAGATATCATGGGGACCATCAGCAGTGATTGAGACCTATCTTGACATATACTCCAAAACAAGTTGGTGAAACCAGGCTTTACGAAGTCAAGCTCAAACAGACAATTGCTGCTCACTTGCGCCAGGCCACTGGAGGTAAAATTTCTGACCAGAGGATTAGAAGTCATCTGCATGCAGTTCAGAGCATAGGAGGGGCGGTCGGGTAGCCTAGTGGTTAAAGCGTTAGCTCGTCACGCCGAAAACCCAGGTTCGATTCCCGACATGAGTACAATGTGTGAAGCCCATTTCTGGTGTCCCCCGCCGTGATATCACTGGAATATTGCTAAAAGCGGCGTAAAACAGTACTCACTCACTTAGAGCATAGGAAACTGGTAAACTAGTGTTCTTCCATCCAGACAATTTGCCAATGCACAAATCAGTCATTGCCATGGTTATAACCATAAGAGAGACTGTGAACTCCTTTAGCACCCTACTTCTCTTGATCTGGCTCAGTCACTTCCATCTGTTCCCAAACATGAAGACAGCTCTGGGCGAAACTTATTTAGACTCGAATGATGATAGCATCTGTGGGGAACTTTTGGGGCAGACAAGAGAAGGACTTCTCCGAAACTGGCATCAACTCCCTCCAATGTCAGTGGCAAAGTGTATCAGTGTGGAAGGGGATTATGTTGAAGAATACCTATGTATCATCTTAATGTCTTCAGGTCAAATCTTTCTATGTAAAGTTGAGAATGGATCAATCAAACCTCGTAGTTATGACTAATGTGATCATGGTTTTGCAAAGGTGACTCGTGTTTTACTGATGACAGGACAAATAGTGAGTGAGTGAGTTGGGTTTAACGCCGCTTTTAACATTATTCCAGTTATATCACAGCGTGTCACCTTAATGTGGGAGGAAAGCCCGAAATGTTGCAGGGCTCGGACGTTTACCACTTTCGGTGAAGGGGCGGTGGGGTAGCCTAGTGGTTAAAGCGTTTGCTCGTCACGCCGAAGACCCAGGTTCGATTTCCCACATGGGTACAATGTGTGAAGCCCATTTCTGGTGTCCCCGGCCGTGATATTGATGGAATATTGCTAAAAGCGGCGTAAAACCATACTCACTCATTTCGTTGAAACCCACGAGCAGGGGTATGGTGCTGACAAACCTAGAAACATAATCAGGGCAAACTGGGATTTGAACCCATAATCATAGGTTTCTGGCATGCCCAAAGGACGCAACTCTGTTCAGCGAATCGCAGCACCTTAGACGTCTGTGTCACCCGTGCCCGACAGGACCAATAATGAAGAGGCTTTTATGCTTAGTTTAACATCATTGCATTGAATATAATGTCTAAATACAATATTAAAATATTTAAGAAATAAATGAATAAGGACTTTAAGAAATTCCAATTTTCAAAATATTTTTTCCTCAATTTTCAAGTGCATTTCGTAAGGAAACTTGATAAATTGTGGTACTAATTACAAATGGGAAATGTTCACAGATTTAATCACTAGCTACCTGACCTGCAGAGTAGGATTTCTTTTAAATACTAGTGCACCTGAAACAAGACTGGCCACAAGATATCCTGCAAGTGACTCATTTGAATGCGAGAGGCCCCAGCAACACGTCAGGCTTGTTGCAAGACTTGACTAAAAGGAATCCTGTTACCATCAAGGACATGCCATCAAGTATCCTTGATCATGCTTCCAGGCACTGGCTTGTCTGCTCCAGACTTGATTACTTACAAGAATATTGCTGCCTGTGGCATTGAGCAACATTCACTCACTTACTCACTCACTCACTCACTCACTTCACATACACAACATATTTGGAATCAAATTCACAGACATCATTGATAAGAGACACAATTGCCCATTTTTTATATCTGTAGGTGGGTATTGAAGTAGGTATTTTCAACCGTTTACTTACCCGGTATCTCTTACTTGCAACATTTTAGATCAAATGTGAATTATTTTACAATAAAGATTCATATTCATTCTGACATTCACATTTTTTTCATGAGAGGATTGCTGAAATACTCTGCGAGTATGATTAACTACTCCACTAGCTTACATTGTCAATAACTATCCAAGTATCTTAAGTAATGAATATCATGGTAGCTTAAATTATCAATAGCTATCACAGCTTACATTATCAATAACTATCACAGTTTACATTATCAATAGCTATCACAGCTTACATTATCAATAACTACCACAGCTTAAATTATCAATAACTATCACAGCTTACATTATCAATAACTATCACAGCTTACATTATCAATAACTATCACAGCTTAAATTATCAATAGCTATCACAGCTTACATTATCAATAACTATCACAGCTTACATTGTCAATAACTATCCAAGTATCTTAAGTAATGAATATCATGGTAGCTTACATTATCAATAGCTATCACAGCTTACATTATCAATAACTATCACAGCTTACATTATCAATAACTATCACAGCTTACATTATCAATAACTATCACAGCTTACATTTTCAATAACTATCACAGCTTACATTTTCAATAACTATCACAGCTTACATTATCAGTAACTATCACAGCTTACATTATCAGTAAACATTAAAAGTAATGGTTAATGATAATGAAGGCAACACTGTGACATAAATGTTCACACTTACACACTTCATCGTCTACCAAAATCAAATAACATGTTTATAATTGTTAATGTGGCTGTTAAGAATAAGATGTGATTTCTGATTTCTGTTTGCAACTTTCATTGACATCCGTTCAGTGATCATCAAAGAAGCATCAATGCCATGTAAGGAAGAGAATATATGGATGTCAACTTCTTTATGATGAGGATGACAACGGTTTGGAGTATATGCTTACTCCTTCATCAGGTGATCATATACTCCAAAACGTTGTCTTCCTGCCTGCCTGCCCGACCGTCCGAGACTGGTTGATTTCAACTCGGGCTGCCAGATTTTCAAATCCACCTGCCCGACGGTCGGGTTATATTTCATATGTAAAAATATTCTAAATATTTCCCGATGATAAACATTATTTACATGATGCATTCTAGGATATTAAATACAAATCTGACCTAAAAAGTGTTTGCTATTTCTTTTCTTGCATCACTTCATGTTCAATGAATTCGATTTAAAGTTTTAATTAAATTATCCTGAGAAACATATGATTATAGTGGGCAGGCAGGTTTTGGTCAAGGCTGGCAAGTATTTCAGCTAGCCAGTCCTGTGGTCTGGCTGAAAATTTTGGGAGTTTCATACCCTGCATATATTCTCATACTTATGTGTATCTCTTCTAAATGCCTTTCAAAGACCTGATCAATGCCATAATTGCCAGAGATGTCAAGTAACAAGAGGTGAGAAATAGTAGGTGAGGTGAAATTGGGTTTAACGTCGCGTCCAAGATTATTGCACTTATATAGCGACGTGCACGCACGTGTGTGGCTGCTTGTACTAGTCCGGACTGATGCCGATTTATAGTGCTAGCTCACTGATATACCATGCCGCAGTTAAACATGAATACCCCACTCAGACACAGTATACCGACTCCGAGCCGACCAGTCCTTGTTTTAGCCCCTTAATGCCGAGCGCCAGACAGGGTAAGAACAGGTATCATCTTTTAATGTCTTTTGGTATCGAACCCCGGACCTTCTGCTCTCCGGGCGGACGCTCTACCACTGGCCCACGGAGGCGGTCTCAAGTAGCAAGAAAACAGATGAGCTAAAACGTGTGTGCAAAGTCCAACCATGAGTGCCTGTACACACAAATAATTTCCTGAGAATGAACAGCTCTCATAATTGGCACACTACTAACACACAATGAAACACACCAACTTTAATGTTTCTGTATAAAAATTTATTCACTTCAGTCTAACATATCTGTGGTAATGTATTTGGGCAACAGCATTTCTGTGATGATGGTATAAAAAAAATTGTCAATCAACATAATGATAAATGTATATCATTAAAACAATTTCCATTCACTCTGTCACCTGGTTGTCTTAGCACTGGAATCTGAAACTCTGATTCATAAATAATGAGTGAGTGAGTGTGGCTTTTAAGTCGCTTTTAGCAATATTCCAGCAATATCACAGCGGGGGGACACCAGAAATTGACTTCACACATTGTACCCATGTTGGGAATTGAACCTGGCTCATTGGCATGACAAGCGAACGTTTTAACCACTAGCCTACCCGACCGCCCCTCATAAATAATGACATTTTATTTACTTTTTGACTATCAAACACCCCTCTCCACATGTTCCTTCTGTAGAAAAGGTGTAAAGAACATATAAAATATTGTTATTTTAATCAGAATTTAGGTTCCTTTCATCTCAAATAGTAGGGCGGTCGGGTAGCCTAGTGGTTAAAGCGTTAGCTTGTCATGCCGAAGGCCCGGGTTCGATTCCCGACATGGGTACAATGTGTGAAGCCCATTTCTGGTGTCCCCCGCCGTGATATTGCTGGAATATTGCTAAAAGCGGCGTAAAACCGTACTAACTCACTCACTCAAATACGAATCATTACTTCTTTTTTTTATTTTTGTCCAACCATTCGAAATGTTCGCATCGTGCCTCTGGGTTTCCGCTGTGACCCTCAGCTCGTGCACACACATAAAACTGTCTGAATCTGTTCGGACCATCCTTCTTCACCATCCGAATCACACAGGCTTCCTTATGGCCCTTGCACAATGGTGGCTTCCCCAGCCCCCCGAGGAGGCCCTTCCATGCTGCACTGGAGGACTTCCCTGTTTCAGGTTTTGTGTCTGTGGGTTTTACCGGTTTCTCAGAAGCATCAACAGGCTTCTTATCGACTATCCTGTCATTGTCTCCGATCTTATCCCCATTTGTTATATCAGAGGATTTACGTTCGTTATTTGACTTTTCTTTCGCAGGTTCAGGTTTGGTTTGGGAACTTTGCTTTTTTCTGAAAAAGCTCATCAAGTTTGCCTGCTTTCCTTCTTCAGAAGATTTCTTTGACTCAAGTTTGGGTTTCTTTCCTGTAGGCTTCCCAGAATCCTCCATTGGTCTCTTCCTCTCGGTGTTGGAATCGACACTTTTGTTTGACTCTTGAGAGCTCTGAGAGCTGCTCAGTTCTATGACTTCTTCAGAAGCATTTACCGATTCCTTCTTGGCGGCTTTGACAAAGAAGGAAGATAGTTTCTGCTGCTTCCCGGCAAACTCTGGCATGTACTTGGCACACAACGGTGGTGCTTTCCTGGCTGGCACACCGTCTAGGCTGAACTCTGCCTTCACCGGGCAGTGGTCTGATCCCTGCACTTCTACCATCTGGACACAAGCCTTCAGGCTGCTTTTGACCAGACCTGCATCTCCAAGGATGTAGTCAAGCCTGGTGCCGTAGTTGGTGACTCGTGACGACGTCAGGGTGCACCAGCAGGTGAAAGCGTCTTCCTGGTCAGGGTAAAAGTACCGAAAGGAATCTATAAACTGTCCACTTTTTGTATCAGGTGTAGATATTTGAAGCAGCTCTTGTTCATCCTTGACCTCAAGGGATGAATCTTGACCTTCACTCCACAAGAACCGGTTCAGCCATTGACGGTCAGGTCGAAGGTTAAATTCCTGAGAAATACAAACACCAAACAGATAACACAAATGCAGTAAGTGTGAGGATTTGTTTGTTGTTTAACACCTTAATCTGCAATATTCCAGCTATATGACGGCAGTCTGTAAATAAAAGAGTCTGGACCAGACAATCCAGTCATTGACATCAAGAGCATCGATCTACGCTATAGGGATACGACGACATGCATCAACCAAGTCAGCGAGCCTGACCACCCAATCCCTCAAGTCGCCTCTTAAGACAGGCATAGTCGCCTTTCACAGCAAGCATGGGTTGCTGAAGACCTATTCTACCCCGGATCTTCACGGGTCATAAACATGAGGGTAAAGTGAAGACTGCATACAGGATTTTGCTTTGTGTCTCATACCAGTACTTTATATCAACACGATATACACCCCTCTTATATCACTCACAAAAACACCCCTCGTATCTCACTCATAAATATACTCCTCGTATCTCACTCATAAATACACCCCTCGTATCTCACTCATAATTACACCCCTCGTATCTCACTCATAAAAACACCCCTCGTATCTCACTCATAAAAACACCCTCATATTTCACTCAAATACACCCCCTCGTATCTCACTCATAAATACAATTCTTTGTATTTCCCTCCTAAATACACCCCTCATATCTCACTCACAAAAACACCCCTCATATCTCACTCATAAATACACCCCTTGGATCTCACTCATAAATACACCCCTTGGATCTCACTCATAAATACACCTTCTCGTATCTCACTCATAAATACACCTTCTCGTATCCCACTCATAAATACACCCTTTCGTATCCCACTCTTAAATACACCCCCTCGTATCTCCCTCATATATACACCTTCTCATATCCCGTTCATAAATACACCCCCTCGTATCCCACTCATAAATACACCTTGTATCTCACTCATGAAAGCATCCCTCATATCTCACTCATACATCCAGCCTCGTATCTCACTCATAAATACACCCTTAGTATCTCACTCATAAATACACCCCTAATATCTCACTCATAAACACACACCCTCGTTTCCCACTCATAAATACACCCCCTCGTTTCCCACTCATAAATACACCCCCTCGTATCCCACTCATAAATACACCCCCTCGTTTCCCACTCATAAATACACCCCCTCGTATCCCGCTCATAAATACACCCCCTCGTATCTCACTCATAAATACACTCCCTCGTATCTCACTCATACATGCACCCTCGTATCTCACTCATAAATACACCCCTCGTATCTCACTCATGAATACACCCCTCGTATCTCACTCATAAATAGAGGATGATCTGACTTTCATGACGGTTTAGATGATTGCTATTTTCAGTGCTGTCTCTGAGAGAGCAATTACCTCTGATGTACATAAAAATATAATTATACAAGATGGTGATAATCTGGTGATAAGAAATGTAACAACTAATATATGACCTCCGACACCAACTCACCTCGCTGTCAGGGTTACAATGGTCAATCATCCGATGTGATGTGTTGATGTCGCCAAGAACAATCACGTAACTAAAACACAAAACAATCTTTATCACATCTGCAAACTTGACTGCTATTTATTAATAGATTGATCATTTTGGATTGTATCACTGACGATATTCTTTTCCCTTCTGTTACAAAGTACCAAATTCTTTATTAAAGTTTGATCAGAAATTATTGAAAATGCTTCATACCATTTTGGCCAACAATATTTACCATATCAAACGTTATGTAGAACTTATTCTGACTTTGTTTCAAGGGAGACAACCCTGCATGTCATATTTGTAAAGTATGACCAGTTTGTCTCCCTTGGTAAACAAGCTAGCAGACGTCAAACAAGACCACTGTGAAAATGGCAGCTTTGGAAGAAAGAAACATTATTTCTGAATTGTACAATCAAAGAATGAGATCAGCAGAGCTCATTACAGACAGGACAGACATTCCACTAATAACTGTGCACCGTGTTTTGAAAATATTGTGAGTGGAGATGGAATTGAGCACAAAGAGGGGGCCGGTAGGCCATACAAATTGACGGATAGTGACAGAAGGCGACTTGGTTTATAGGCATCTAGAAACAGACGCATGAGCATAGACAATATTTGGCATGAAATGATTAATAGAGAAACAGTTCATGTTTCTAATGAGACACAAAGAACACATCTGCTTGCAATGGATTGGCAGAAATCACGAGAAATTCTATCACCACTCCTAAAACCTGATACCCGTGAAGATCCGGGGTAGAATAGGTCTTCAGCAACCCATGCTTGCCGTAAAAGGCGACTATGCTTGTAGTAAAAGGCGACTAACGGGATCGGGTGGTCAGCTCGCTGACTTCGTTGATGCATGTCATCGATCCCAATTACGTGGATCAATGCTCATGATAGGAATCACTGGATTGTCTGGTCCAGACTCGATTATTTACAGACCACATACCATCTGTGTCTGAGAAGAACCTCCGCCCTGGTCTAAAGCAGTGTCACATACCTTCCTTGTGTGAGGAGAGCCTCTGCCCGGGCCTAAAGCAGTGTCACGTACTTTCCTTGTGTGAGGAGAGCCTCTACCCTGGCCTAACGCAGTGTCACGTACCTTCCTTGTGTGAGGAGAGCCTCTAACCTGGCCTAAAGCAGTGTCACGTACCTTCCTTGTGTGAGGAGAACCTCTAACCTGGTCTAAAGCAGTGTCACGTACCTTCCTTGTGTGAGGAGAGCCTCCGCCCTGGTCTGAAGCAGTGTCACAAACCTTCCCTCTGTGAGGAGAGCCTCCGCCCTGGTCTGAAGCAGTGTCACATACCTTCCTTGTGTGAGGAGAGCCTCTAACCTGGCCTAAAGCAGTGTCACGTACCTTCCTTGTGTGAGGAGAGCCTCCGCCCTGGTCTGTGTCACATACCTTCCTTGTGTGAGGCGAGCCTCTGCCCGGGCCTAAAGCAGTGTCACGTACTTTCCTTGTGTGAGGAGAGCCTCTACCTGGGCCTAAAGCAGTGTCACATACCTTCCTTGTGTGAGGAGAGCCTCTGCCCGGGCCTAAAGCAGTGTCACGTACTTTCCTTGTGTGAGGAGAGCCTCTACCCTGGCCTAAAGCAGTGTCACGTACCTTCCTTGTATGAGGAGAGGCTCTAACCTGGCCTAAAGCAGTGTCACGTACCTTCCTTGTGTGAGGAGAGCCTCTAACCTGGTCTAAAGCAGTGTCACGTACCTTCCTTGTGTGAGGAGAGCCTCCGCCCTGGTCTGAAGCAGTGTCACAAACCTTCCCTCTGTGAGGAGAGCCTCCGCCCTGGTCTGAAGCAGTGTCACATACCTTCCTTGTGTGAGGAGAGCCTCTAACCTGGCCGAAAGCAGTGTCACATACCTTCCTTGTGTGAGGAGAGCCTCTACCCTGGCCTAAAGCAGTGTCACGTACCTTCCTTGTGTGAGGAGAGCCTCCGCCCTGGTCTGTGTCACATACCTTCCTTGTGTGAGGAGAGCCTCTAACCTGGCCTAAAGCAGTGTCACGTACCTTCCTTGTGTGAGGAGAGCCTCCGCCCTGGTCTGTGTCACGTACTTTCCTTGTGTGAGGAGAGCCTCTACCCTGGCCTAAAGCAGTGTCACGTACCTTCCTTGTGTGAGGAGAGCCTCTACCCTGGTCTGAAGCAGTGTCACATACCTTCCTTGTGTGAGGAGAGCCTCTAACCTGGCCTAAAGCAGTGTCACGTACCTTCCTTGTGTGAGGAGAGCCTCCGCCCTGGTCTGAAGCAGTGTCACAAACCTTCCCTCTGTGAGGAGAGCCTCCGCCCTGGTCTGAAGCAGTGTCACATACCTTCCTTGTGTGAGGAGAGCCTCTAACCTGGCCTAAAGCAGTGTCACGTACCTTCCTTGTGTGAGGAGAGCCTCCGCCCTGGTCTGTGTCACATACCTTCCTTGTGTGAGGAGAGCCTCTAACCTGGCCTAAAGCAGTGTCACGTACCTTCCTTGTGTGAGGAGAGCCTCCGCCCTGGTCTGTGTCACGTACTTTCCTTGTGTGAGGAGAGCCTCTACCCTGGCCTAAAGCAGTGTCACGTACCTTCCTTGTGTGAGGAGAGCCTCTACCCTGGCCTAAAGCAGTGTCACATACCTTCCTTGTGTGAGGAGAACCTCTAACCTGGCCTAAAGCAGTGTCACGTACCTTCCTTCTGTGAGGAGAGCCTCCGCCCTGGTCTGAAGCAGTGTCACATACCTTCCTTCTCTGAGGAGAGCCTCCGCCCTGGTCTGAAGCAGTGTCACGTACCTTCCTTCTCTGAGGAGAGCCTCCGCCCTGGTCTGTGTCACATACCTTCCTTCTGTGAGGAGAGCCTCCGCCCTGGTCTGAAGCAGTGTCACATACCTTCCTTCTGTGAGGAGAGCCTCCGCCCTGGTCTGTGTCAAATACCTTCCTTGTCTGAGGAGAACCTCCGCCCTCGTCTGTGTCACATACCTTCCTTGTGTGAGGAGAGCCTCTTGCCTGGTCTGAAGCAGTGTCACATACCTTCCCTCTGTGAGGAGAGCCTCCGCCCTGGTCTGAAGCAGTGTCACATACCTTCCCTCTGTGAGGAGAGCCTCCGCCCTGGTCTGAAGCAGTGTCACATACCTTCCTTCTGTGGGGAGAGCCTCCGCCCTGGTCTGAAGCAGTGTCACATACCTTCCCTCTGTGAGGAGAGCCTCCGCCCTGGTCTGAAGCAGTGTCACGTACCTTCCTTCTGTGAGGAGAGCCTCCGCCCTGGTCTGAAGCAGTGTCACGTACCTTCCTTCTGTGAGGAGAGCCTCCGCCCTGGTCTGAAGCAGTGTCACGTACCTTCCTTCTGTGAGGAGAGCCTCCGCCCTGGTCTGAAGCAGTGTCAGGAACCGCAGTTTGTACTCCTTCCGGTCATCTCTCTCACTGTCTACTCGTGGCACATACACGTTGATGATTGCCAAATCCTTTACTTCACCTTCTGAATTCCTGTACAAATACATGTCTCTTTACTATTTGGATGAAGTTAATAACTACCAGGGAGTTATAAGAGGAAATAAACTGTCACTCATTGATCATCAAAGCCAACATAAACACATCTCACATCTCATCTCTTTAACACGTACCACTGGCACACTGCTTACCGTTCTCTATGAGGTGAGGTGAAATTGGGTTTAACGTCGCGTCCAAGATTTTTGCACTTATATAGCGACGTGCATGTACGTGTGTGTGTTTGTGTTGCTGCTTGCACTCGTCCGGCCTGATGCCGATTTATAGTGCTAGCCCACTGAGATACCATGTCGCAGTTTTAACATGAATACCCCACTCAGACATAGTATACTGACTCCGAGCCGACCAGTCCTTGTTTTAGCCCCTTAATGCCGAGTGCCAGACAGGGTAACAACAAGTACCATCTTTTAACGTCTTTTAATATGACGCGGTCGGGGATCAAACCCCGGACCTTCCGCTCTCCGTTCTCTATGAGAAATTACTTGGACCCATTCATCTTCATAGCATCGTTTTCAGGATCACTTCACATCTGGTCACTTTCTCTGAGCACAGAATTTCTCTTGCTCATGAGAGCAATTTGTTTGGACAGCTATGTTTAGCGTGGTTCCATTCCAATCGGGCTACAAAATGAAGCTATGTTTGCAAATGGGCAGACATGGACTGTTGCTCATGCTATCAACTACTGATTTGTCTGGTCCAGCATCAATTACTTTCCAGTCACTGTTGTATTATGCGATTTGATGCCGCGGAATATTTTGCAGAAAGGCCCACTCGGTGCAGAATTGTTCCTATCTTGCAGAAAATCATGTTTTGTGCAGAACTTGTGCAGGATTTTGCATTTGTCTGCTGCAGAATTCGCCAAATACCCTACAGAATTGTGACATGAGAGTCGAAAGCCGGTTTCAAAGTGTAAGTAGATATTCATTTCCTTTTGAAGATAAGATGACTTTTATATTATTCAAAAGCTACATGTTTACATAAGTGATCTCCAGATTCACTTCAATATTCTAGCTGTGGATAAGATCATCACAAAAATGCCTGCCACAATTCAAATGGGTGCAAAACTATGAAATTCAAGAGAATAAGTTTAAAAGTTTGCACCATTGTGTGCAGAATGATCAAAAGTTGCACGCAGAATTTGCAATAGATTGACTGCGGAATTTGCATCTTTTTTGCCACGGCATACAGCAGGGACTGACCTACAGGCTGCCCATCTTCCTGAGGCAAGGGAGTTAACTGTCTATAAAAGTCCAGTTTCCACCCTTGCCGAACTAGGCTGGTGTTATGGAGTTACATTTTGGCTGGACTAACGAGTCCATGCATAATCCAATCAAAATCATGCAGCAAAATCAAAATCCGGTTCGTAAACTGTCATGCAGATTTCGGTCGATTGCAGGATTTGCAAAGCATGTGCATCGCCAACTCGTTGTCAGCAGATATTTTCCAAATCTTTTCATGTTTTTAATCAAGGTGCTCGCCTGATTTGATGCATTTTGCGATGTAAGACCCGTTTTATCACAACATAAATCTTGATTATCGATCAGATCGTCCTGACCGGGCGCCACCATTTTGTGTGAAGCAAACGCAAGTGATACGAGAGGTGGAATCTGATTGGTCCATAGGAAAGACTTAGAAGGGACATAACTGGTAACAGCCACTGGTGACGCTACGATCGAGCCCAGTAATTCCAGCCAAGTTCGGCAAGGGTGGAAACTAGACTTTTAAAGTCAGTTAACTCTCTTGCCTTGGGAAGATGCAGGCTGCCATGACGTAGCTGGAATACTGCTGACTCAAAAAAAAACATTCAGACACTTACTCATCTCAGGACATATGACAAACTAGCTAAGGACAACTAATAGATAGGTGTTGTGTGGTGTTTATCTCACCTGACAGTGTGCTGAGTAATAATGGCTCGCCCTTCAGCATCCAAAGACTCCAGTTCTTCTTTACCATAATAGCCAAGGTTACCATAGCAACCAACATCTCCATTCCCACTGGCCAGGACCCCACCTAGGCCTTCCTCAGCCCTGACAGGAGTGCAAGATTCACGACAATAGGTAGCCACACCTGGAAACACAGGGCAAACAGGAACTTACCTAGACCTGATCAGAGGCTGACATGCGGCTCAAAGTCCGCAGCAAATGTCAATGAAAATTTCCAAATTGGAATTAAACATTTCCCAATTCACAAAGATCAACAAGCATGGCTATGTCCCTGTCTCAGACAGCATGGCATACAGGGCACAGCACTAAACAGAACTAAGTGTTTGTTAGTGAGTGAGAGAGTTTGGGTTAAAACTACTTTGAACTGTATTTCAGTCATTAGTATGCTTAGTTTGTGATGCTTGATGAGGAGTGGGACTTTGAGAAATCCCACAGGCAAAGGCATGGGCCAAGAATGGGATTCCAACCCGCCATCACAGGATATGGGCAAATCCAAGGGATGCAACTCTGCACAGCAAATTTGAGAGCCTTCAGAAGACTTGGTCACTTGTGAGTGAGTGAGTATGGTTTAACACTGCTTTTTGCAATACTCCAGCAATATCATGGCGAGGGACACCCAAAAAGGGGCTTTACACATTCTACCTATGGGGGGAATCAAACCCAGGGCTTTGGCGTGACAAGTGAACGGTTTAACCGCTAGGCTGCCCCACCAGCCCTGGTCACCTGTTGCTTTTTATAACTAAGAAGTACCAGAACATAAGGAAAGACAAATTGTATGAATGCTCATTAAATATATTTGAACGAAAACAAATGACAGTTTCAATAGAACTGGGTGAGAAATATTTTTCAATACCAGACCAGAAGGACACAGACGTACATTTGGCACTGGCAGACAGGTCAACAAAGAGACATACCGGAATATCCGGTTTTCTTGCGGCTGAAGCTGAAGTAGGAGTTGTAGCCATCGATGACCGCCACGGGCTCCTCCAGCATGTCCCCTGTAACATCGCAAACTGTCTGTACCCACAATACATCAGTCACACCATGTCTGATCCCACAATACATCAGTCACACCATGTCTGTACCCACATCACAGTCACACCATGTCTGTTCCCACAATACATCCGTCACACCATGTCTGTTCCCACAATACATCCGTCACACCATGTCTGTTCCCACAATACATCTGTCAAACCATGTCTGTACCCACATCACAGTCACACCATGTCTGTTCCCACAATACATCAGTCACACCATGTCCGATCCCACAATACATCCGTCACACCATGTCTGTTCCCACAATACATCAGTCACACCATGTCTGTACCCACATCACAGTTACACCATGTCTGAACTCACAATACATCAGTCACATCATGTCTGTACCCACAGCAACATCAGTCACACCATATCTGTACTCACAGCAACATCAGTAACACCATGTCTGTACTCACAGCAACATCAGTAACACCATGTCTATACTCACAGCAACTTGACAATCACACCATGTATGTACGCACAATACATCAGTCACACCATGTCTGAACTCAGTTACATCGCAGTCACACCATGTCTGTACTGACAGCAACACCATTGTCACACCATGTCTGAACTCAAAGTAAGATCAGTCAGACCATGTCTGTACTCACAGTAACATCACAGTCAAACCATGTCTGTATCCACAGTAACATCAGTCACACCATGGCATGACACGATGTCTGTAACCAGCTTCGCAGGGAGCGTGGCCAAATAGAGGTCACGTGGTACAGCTGCCAATGCAGTCTTGTCTTGTCCACATCTACCTCATATTTAAATCTTGGTATGAACTGTAACTGACGATCAAATGCAAATTTAACTCACGTGTTACTTTTGTTTCTTGGAAGCAAATAATGTCAGCGTCCAGTGATTCGATATCCTCCTTGATTGAAGGGCGAGTTCTTATGCCATTTATGTTCCATGTCAATATCTTCATGATATTTGATTTATTTTCGATTATTGCACGATTTCACACAAAAAGATCAGAAGACTGACATGTGGTTTGTTTTCTTCCGGTACTACATAATCACTTCCTTTGCAGGAAACACACTTCCGTTGATTGGTTAGGGCAAAGGTTGACGCTTCCTTTGAACCAATCGGAGTTGCCGTAGTTGCCGTTGTACAATGTAAAGGTCATATATACTGTCGCGCCATTTCTGAATATGACCTGGAAGTACATCGGTACAGGCGCGACGTAATTTCCCCTTCACGAATCTACGCAAACTAGTCGTTTTGATTCAATTAACGGTTTGTATCCCATATTTAATTGCTGACGACAAGCTTTTCGACCATAATCGATTTATTGATATTCATAAAGAGGTGAAAATTGGAATCTGTTCAGCTGAACTTAGGGCTTGTTCAATTCTAAAGTTTGTGCGACAAAGTGAAACTGAAAGTACACTCAGCTTGTCACATTGTCAAATATTTCTCTAAGAAGCATTGTTCATGATGTTACCTTTACCTTTATCATTAATTACTAATTATTGCCAATTATCTGCTTTATTTGGAGAAAAAATATATACACAATCAATTATAAGGCCTAAGGCTAAATCTATGGTAAGACTTGGTCCTCTCTGCTTATAGTATATACTGGGAAAATGTCCCTTTTTGAGTATTAAGAATAACTGCATCATGAAACTATTGGAAGTGTGTATCACTCACGCTTTTCGCAGTACTTTTCTGTTCGCAAAACTTGCCAGACTTACAGTATGCAAGTCAGTATCACCTGGATATGAAGTTGTATCACCTACATATGTAGTCAGTATCGCCTGGATGTGTAGTCAGTATCACCTGGATATGTAGTCAGTATCACCTGGATAGGTAGTCGGTATCACCTGGATACTGTAAATCGGGAAAGTTTTGCGAACGGGAAAGTCCAGTGAAAACTGTGAGTGACACACACTCGCAATAGTTTCATGACACAGTTGTTTTTGCAGACTAACAACAAACAAAAAATGTAAGGAGGTATTTACCTTTTTTCACTTCAACACATTGTCAACCAGCCAGATGCATGATTTCATAAATAATCCTACCCATCCTGTTTGCTCAATTACACATTGTCACTCGAAGTCAATAGTCGAATCAGGAGAATTCAGTAACCTAGCTGACACACCTTGATATGTCTGCTAGGTTACTGACAAGATGATCTAGTCAAGTTGTTTTGTAGTCCAGACATACGCCAGTCAGTCTGTACAGTTGTATAAACTTGCTCCTCCAACATTCCTTGTCAACTACTACACATGCGTCTATAGTATAAAATCTGCCCTGAGTTGCCATTTCATCACACTGCTTCCTCTCTTACAAAAAATAACAAGTGCAAAAGTAGCTTTGATCCTTGGTAATCTTGTCAACAGGGTGTTGCAAGACTTTCTAGACACTCTTAAGGCTGTTTTGGGGCAGTCACAATAATTTCATGGCTCATGGCTTTCATGTAGTCAGTATCACCTGGATATGTAGTCAGTATCACCTGGATATGTCGTCAGTATCTCCTGGATATGTAGACAGTAGTCATTTCCACCTGGATATGTAATTAACTATCACCTGGATATGTGGTCACTATCACTTGGATATGTAGTCAGTATCACCTGGATATGTAATTCAGTAACACCTGGATGTGTAGCCAGTGTCATCTGGATATGTAGTCAGTATCACCTGGATATGTTGTGTAACCTGGATATGTAGTCAGTATCACCTGGATATGTAGGCAGTATCACCTGGATATGTAATTCAGTATCACCAGGATATGTAGTCTTATAACCTGGGTATGTAGTCAGTAAAACCTGAATATGTTGTCAGTATCACCTGGATATGTAGTCAGTATCACCTGGATATGTAATCAGTATCACCTGGATATGTAGTCAGTCTGGATATGTAGTCAGTAAAACCTGGATATGCAGTCAGTATCACCTGGATATGTAGTCGGTATCACCTGGATAGGTAGTATCGCCTGGATATGTAGTCAGAATCACCTGGATATGCAGTCTGAAAAACCTGGATATGTTGTCAGTATCACCTGGATATGTAATCAGTATCACCTGGACATGTAGTCAATATCACCTGGAAATGTAATCATTTCACCTGGATGTGTAGTCAGTATCACCTGGATATGTAATCAGTATCACCTGGATATGTAGTCAGTATCACCTGGATGTGTAGTCAGTATCACCTGGATATGTAGTCAGTATCACCTGGATATGTATTCAGTATCACCTGGATGTGTAGTCAGTATCACCTGGATATGTAATCAGTATCACCTGGATATGTAATCAGTATGATGTGTCCACAATGTTTGTTGTTTAACATGTTAAAAGCCGCACTCGGAAATATTCCAGCTATATGATGGTGGTCTGTAAATAATCGAGTCTGGACCAGACAATCCAGTCATTGAGAGCCACTTTATAAATAGTGTTCTTTCCATCCATGTGTGTTGATCATGTTTAGATAATATCAGCAGAACAACACAAAAGAAGGAAGTCATCAACATTATTATTAAACTGTAGTCAAGAGTTGTTGCTCACGACTTATAATCAACAACTCAAAGGTTTTTCAGCTTTATATTTTATAAGTCAATTTGTAAAGACAGTTTCCATGTAAATGCAACATCTCTGTATATTGCACTTGGTATCTGGGCCAATGGTTTCAGCATCAAGTGTCACAAGCATTTGCCACATTGACCAGCATGTTTGTCAAGCCTTGATGTGGACTAGCCTTTTTATTCACTGATCAAATCAGCACATGACAGAATTGGACACAGCCAATATTATTATTAGTGAAAATCTGTGAGGACATGCAGCATTCAATTCTTTGTAAATATTCAACCAAAATTCTCTCTAGATCTTTGCAAGTCAGGCTCAGTTACTAGGTTCATTGTGTTTCATCCAATATTTAGTCACTGGTTTGTGTGGTCCAGGCTAAGTTATTTAGTGAGAAAGGTGCACTATTGCGCAGCTGACAGCTACTTTCATTGCTTGTGTTGCATCATTGCGCTGAACAACATTAAGCGCAGACTTTGTGTCGTGGTCTACATGATTATTTTTTTAATTGAAATAGGCATGTGAAGTTTTTACTGCCATTTTTGTTTATAAGATTTTACATCAATGTTTGTTTTTGGTGTTTTTTTTAGGTATTAACGTAAATATCTGTGCACACTTTAGTAAGTCCACTATTGGTGTGCACACTGGTGTTCACGTTTGTACGTCCATGTAAACAAAACAATAGTCAGATCTTAAATGGAAGGTATTTACTGGTTGTAGCATATAAAACAAACAGAAAAATCAAGCTGACAATGTTATTATTCATAACCATGATAACCAAGAAATAAAATCTACCTCGACAAATATTTGAAACCATATTGCTTAAAAAACAATTTTTTGATTTGTGTCTTATCCTTTGTTTTTTTACTTATTTCAGACCTCCCATCCTTTCCAGAATGGCACCAACTGACAACATCGCCACTCTCTCTGATCGAGAGCTGAGTGAGAAGCTTCGGCAGTATGGTGTGAATGTTGGCCCTATCGTCAGTAAGTTATGTTTCACAAAGAACACTCAGATAATTCTAAAAACAATTAGGTATTGCAAACTTGTTACTCTCTAAAACCAAATTATGCTCTTTGAAAAAACAACAACACACACATTCCCAGAGATTGACAGGCTAGGGATAATAACCCAACCAAAACAGCCCTGAAACGACAGTGACAGTTGAAAGCAAAAGGCCTTTTCATGTTCCATATCTGTATGAGCCATGGTATGTGAAATACATGTACACAGTAAACTATGTTTATAACAAACATGCTTTAACATGTTTAACGAACTGACAGTTATAACAATTGATTTTTTGGTCCCGGCCATTTGCTGTATGTATATTTCTAATGTACTACGGTTGTAACAAGCTAAAATGAGTGGCCCCTTTGAGTTAGTATAACCGTAGTTGACTGTAATTATTATTCTGCCCCACATAGAATCTACACGAGGCCTGTATGAAAAGAAGCTTCGTAAGTTTGTGCTGGGCCAAGTGAGTAAGCCAAAATACGAGGAGGTTCCTGATGATGACGAAGATGACGAAGATGATGAAGAAGAAGAAGAAGAAGAAGAGAAGTATCAAGGTGAGAATGAGAAGTTGGCATCACAGAAAGTTGACAGAAACTTATTCAAGCTTGATTTCATATATTAGCAGTTTTTTTGTTTACTAGTTTTAAACAGTAAAAAAATAAAATTTTGATCCTCAATTAGAAAAGATTTGACAATATTGAATAGTTTTTATGCTTCACACAACACAACTCTTTTGTGACTCGAAGTGCGTGTTACTTTAGTCCAGTCAATATAGTATCAAATCCTACCAAACCCACCACAAATTGCAACAGAAATTATTTCTCCTGTTTCATGAACAGAAAACATCCCCTTACAACATAGTAAAAATCTAGGAAAATTTAAGTTGGGGAAAATTGTTTAGTTTGGGTATGATCTTTAGGGGGTAAATCAATACTTGTGCCCACTCTCGACATATTGTATCAGACACAATGTTTGCATCCGATACAACCCTGCAAACTTAGCAAAGGACTTGTAGATCACTATCATCAGCTTATCATGAATATTTTACTTAAAATTGACTTGTTGAAAACTGACATTGTGATAAATGTTTTATTTCAGAAAAACCAGCCCCAGTGAGGTGAGTTGACTTTTTGCTGAAACATTGGTGGTCTCTTTGTTACAAACTGTATCCCAGCCAGTGTCAGACACAGGCAGCTGGACAAGGGCGTTGATGGGTCTTTTTCTGGTAATGACATCATCAGACTTTTAGTGTTAGTATTCAGACAGAAGGCATTTGAATATCAGTTCTGACAGCAAGTATAATGAGTTGGCTCTATTTGATCAAACTGTCTACATATCCAGGTGATACTGACAGCATACCAGTGGTAGAAACTAACATTTTTAGTCCAATAGTCCTGAAAATGATAACATATAGCAAAACCCTTTAAAATGGCAAATATCTACCAGTCCTTATGATACCTAAACTATTGGGCAGTTTGGCAAGGACTACAGGACCAGTGCCAGTTTCTAACGCTGCATATCCAGGTGATACTGACTACCTATTTAGGTGAAACTACATATCCAGGTGATACTGAATTACATATCCAGGTGATACTGACTACATATCTAGTTGATACTACCCATCCAGGTAATACTGACTACATATCTAGGTGATACTGAATTACATATCCAGGTCATACTGACTATATATTTAGTTGATACTACCAATCCAGGTAATACTGACTACATATCTAGGTGATACTGAATTACATATCCAGGTGATACTGACTACATATCTAGTTGATACTACCTATCCAAGTGATACTGACTACATATCTAGGTGGTACTGACTACATATCCAGGTGATACTGAATTAGATATCCAGGTGATACTACCTATTCAGGTGATACTGAGTTACCTATCCAGATGATACTGAATTACATATCCAGTTGATACTGAATTACATATCCAGGTGATACTACCCGTTCAGGTGATACTGACTACATATCTAGGTGATACTGATTACATATCCAGGTGATACTGACTACATATCCAGGTGATACTGACTACATATCTAGGTGATACTGAATTAGATATCAAGGTGATACTACCTATCCAGGTGATACTGAATTTCATATCCAGGTGATACTAACTACATATCCAGGTGATACTGACTACATATCTAGGTGATAGTGAATTACATATCCAAGTGATACTGACTACATATCCCGGTGATACTGAATTATATATCCAGGTGATATTACCCGTTCAGGTGATACTGACTACATATCTAGGTGATACTGATTACATATCCAGGTGATACTGACCTCATATCCTGGTGATACTGATTACATATCCAGGTGATACTGACTACATATCCTGGTGATACTGATTACATATCCAGGTGATACTGTATTAGATATCCAGGTGATACTACCTATCCAGGTGATACTGAATTTCATATCCAGGTGATACTGAAAAACATATCCAGGTGATACTGAAAAACATATCCAGGTGATACTGACTACATATCCAGGTGATAATGATTACATATCCAGGTGGTACTGACTACATATCTAGGTGATACTGAATTAGATATCCAGGTGATACTACCTATTCAGGTGATACTGAATTTCATATCCAGGTGATACTAACTACATATCCAGATGATACTGACTACATATCTAGGTAAAACTGAATTACATATCCAGGTGATACTGACTTCATATCTAGGTAATACTGACTTGCATATCCAGGTGATACTGACTACATATCTAGGTGATACTACCTATCCAGGTGATACTGACTACATATCTAGGTGATACTGACTCCATATCCAATATTAGACTACTACAGGTGATACTACATATCCAGGTGATACTGACTACATATCCAATATTAGACTACTACAGGTGATACTACCTATCCAGGTGATGCTGACGGCATATCCAATATTAGACTAGTACAGGTGATACTACCTATCCAGGTGATGCTGACGGCATATCCAATATTAGACTAGTACAGGTGATACTACCTATCCAGGTGATGCTGACGGCATATCCAATATTAGACTAGTACAGGTGATACTACCTATCCAGGTGATACTGACTACATATCCGATATTAGACTAGTACAGGTGATACTACCTATCCAGGTGATGCTGACGGCATATCCAATATTAGACTAGTACAGGTGATACTACCTATCCAGGTGATACTGACTACATATCCGATATTAGACTAGTACAGGTGATACTACCTGTCCAGGTGATGCTGACGGCATATCCAATATTAGACTAGTACAGGTGATACTACCTGTCCAGGTGATGCTGACGGCATATCCGATATTAGACTAGTACAGGTGATACTACCTATCCAGGTGATGCTGACGGCATATCCGATATTAGACTAGTACAGGTGATACTACCTATCCAGGTGATACTGACGGCATATCCGATATTAGACTAGTACAGGTGATACTACCTATCCAGGTGATACTGACGGCATATCCGATATTAGACTAGTACAGGTGATACTACCTATCCAGGTGATACTGACGGCATATCCGATATTAGACTACTACAGGTGATACTACCTATCCAGGTGATGCTGACGGCATATCCAATATTAGACTAGTACAGGTGATACTACCTATCCAGGTGATACTGACTACATATCCAATATTAGACTAGTACAGGTGATACTACCTATCCAGGTGATGCTGACGGCATATCCAATATTAGACTAGTACAGGTGATACTACCTATCCAGGTGATGCTGACGGCATATCCAATATTAGACTAGTACAGGTGATACTACCTATCCAGGTGATGCTGACGGCATATCCGATATTAGACTAGTACAGGTGATACTACCTATCCAGGTGATGCTGACTACATATCCAATATTAGACTAGTACAGGTGATACTACCTATCCAGGTGATGCTGACGGCATATCGGATATTAGACTAGTACAGGTGATACTACCTATCCAGGTGATGCTGACTATATATCCAATATTAGACTAGTACAGGTGACTTGTTTTTAATAGCTAACAAGACTAACAAGGATAAAGAGGCACTAAGTATGGAAGTCCAGATAAATCCCTGTATTCAGTGAGAAGTCACCTGTGGGACTCGATACGGGTGCGTGGTATTACCAGTATATTGAGGTTCACTCTATCCATTATGCGTATCACAATAGCATTCCTAAATGCTCGGTTGATTTCAAATGGCAATTTTTATCATGTGTTCTATGTTATACACTGGCCAAATACCCAAAGGGTGAATCCGGATCGTGCATCCATGCCTATTTATTGAATGAGTAAACATTAGGTTGTACCATTGTCTTGTTTTGTTTCTATTTATGAACTTCAGTTCATAAACTGCTGTTTCAAATTGTTTCTGAATTCAAAATTTAGAATTATGCAATATATCGGGATACATATCGCAATATGGTCTCAATGTTCCATTTTCTCACAGTTGTACATTTTTGACCTTTGTGTTTGACATAACTCTTAGATTCTCGTATTTGGCTCTGTAAAGATTTTCTCTGAAATTGTCGGACTGATGAAGCTGAACTTTGACATGTAGGGATGACATTCAGTGATCGTTTTTAAGCATGTTTAGTCTTCAGAATGTGTGCAGAAACATCTCAACATTGATGTAAACAGCAGCTGTTCATTAACTGCCTTTGTTGATATTTTAAAATTTTGACTACAGGTGAGCTATGGTGCTCCGGCACTTTTTTCATGTTACCAAATAAGTTCTAAAAACAAGTTCAGTGGCATCACGTTATGTTCAGCTTGATCATTAGCTTTCATGCACCATATCAGCCCCCGCTGTCCTCAGTGTCCTTGTAGATACTGCTGCAATGAAATTGCATCACAATGATTTGCAGACCATTGTGACTATCACTAATGGCTCTGCTACTGAAGCTGTTAGCAGTACTTTACACACTTAAGACACTGCTTATTACCGTCTACAAACTGAAAAAGTTGGAAGAATGATGTTGAATGATAAATAAAATCTCACCCTCGTGTCTTTTGATTTGTCAACACTCGTTGTAGTTTTTCCACTTTCCACAACTCGTGTTGATATATTTGATATCAAAAGACATGAAGGTGAGATTCTCTATGTGTCTGACTAACTCTTACTTGACGTAACAGGCGACTAACAGGATTGGGTGGTCAGACTCGCTGACTTGGTTGATGCATGTTGTCAATCACTGGATTGGCTGGTCCAGACTCCATTATTTAGGGACCGATGTCATATAGCTGGAATATTGCTGAGTGTGGCGTTAAACAATAAACAAACAAATTATTCACATAACATCAACCACTCACTACCTCTAAGCTTTATTTACCACACTACATAACTAACCCCTGTTTTTGAGTTATTTTCAATTTGTGGGCGGTCGGGTAGCCTAGTGGTTAAAGTGTTCGCTCGTCACGCCAAAGACCCGGGTTCGATTCCTGACATGGGTGCAATGTGTGAAGCCCATTTCTGGTGTCCCCCGCCGTGATAGTGCTGGAATATTGCTAAAAGAGGCGTAAAACCATGCTCACTCACTCACTCACTTCTTTTCAATTTGTCATACTTTTGTGGGCTTGATGTCATCAAACCATGGGTACTTCCCAGGTTATCTGCACTTGTTTCCTTTATGTTTCAATTCTTTTTGTGTCAATTTTGGCTATGACCTGTAATTGGGTTTGCCCTGATGGAGAAAACCTGCGCATCTAAGTAAAAAATACGGAATATAATTTCTCCATTGCGTCGGTCATAATGCAGATCAGTCTCACTGTCGAAATCAATTAATTGCGCTATACTGTCGGAAACTTAAATTTTAAAGGGACATATCCCTTCATTCCCTTGACAATAAGATACAACCAATATGAGCTTTGTCTAATGCTGGAAAAACCTATTGTCTAAACTAGTACAGCTCTAGTGGCAAGCTCTCGGTTGCAGCCAATGTGAATTAAGTTTGAATACTTCCCTAGTGGGGTGGCTGTATTTGCTGTCAGTCACTGTCATCAGTCGGTTATACAAGTCATCATATTATGGCTGGGGGAAAAAAACAAAGTAATTTTTCACCCTTTTTTCAAACAAGGCGGCAGTTGATATCTGATACAGGTACCAGAGACTGGTCAAATGCAACACGACCACCTCCGTTGTCTAGATGGTAGACCTTGTTTCCAGAGGGCAGACGGTCGAGGGTTCGAACCCAAGGGGCATCATACCAAAAGTCGTTAAAAGATGGTACTTGTTGTTACCCTGCCTGGCGGTCATCATTAAGGGGCTAAAACAAAATGGTATCTCATAGGGCTAGCACTATAAAATATGCATTAGTACGGACTAGAACAGCAAGCAGCACGCACGCATGCATGCACATCGCCACACAAGTGCAATAATCTTACCACAAATGAAACACAACCAAAATTACAGCAGGCTTTTCGGGAAGAATTGCTCAAAAAGAGCACGTGGTTGTTTTTTGACGGAAAGAAACATCATATATGCATTATTGTACCAGACACCAGGCTACCGCTTACTACTTGACTTCCGGAATGAAATGGGTTGATGTTCACACGTCAGTTGAGTTTGTTATGTATTGCTCTAGATAATGTTTTGTGGTTACAATAACAACACAAGTAAAGACATGGATATTTTATAGTGTACAGTACCGAGTCTGGTGACCAACTTTGTAATTTTTTGCCAGCAGACCAACAAGGAATGAACCACGACGGAGAGTGCCACCGATGCCAGCCACGCCGCCACGGGGGAAACCTGTACAGTTGGAGGAGCGCGTGACCACCACCACGTCACGTCAAACTCGCACTGCACCACCACCCACGACGTGAGTTCTCAACAGAACTGTTTATACCTGTCTCCCACATCCAATGCCTTCAAAACAGATCACTGTTATACTTCCATGTAAAAATATCATAGTTAATGCTTACACAAGTCGTGTAATTTGCATATGATAGATTGGTCAGTGTGAGTTCCATTAGAATAGATTCCACAGAGAACCAAATATTTGATATTTGTTTATTTACTTCGTGACAAAAGCATTATATTTGAAAAAAAATAAAAAATTACTCACTTTTAATACATCTGTACTGGGTTTTGGAGGTAAAGCTTCATATGAAATTACAAATTACTTTAGTTATTGAATTCTGAGTTGAACATCACCTAAATGTTTATTTACAGAAAACCAAAGTCCAAGGGGTTCCCAGTATGGATAATTCTATTGGTCATCTTGATTCTTGTTGGCCTTGGATACCTAATTCTGCAAAACATGGAATCGGCCGGAGAAAGTAATATCCCAAGAGAGATAGAGTCGGAAACTGTGTAGTCTGCTTGAGACATCCGTCTTGGCTCAGCAAGCACATTTGCTGTTATGACAACAGCTAACAACTTCCTTCTCACGCCAGGTCAATGTTGTGACCTCTGACCTCACACCTGTGGTCCACAGCTGTATATATACAAGTGTCACATTGGTTAAAAATGTTACAATGTCATAAATTGAATTTATGTCCGAAGAAAAAGGGTTTCATGATAAATGTGTATGTAAATCGGATGTTAGCCCTATTACCAAGGCTGTTATGAATATGGTGTACATTAAATAACAAACAAATGTCATGGCAGTTAGCTTTGATTCATATTGGGTTGGTCATTTGTTGGTAAGGTAAATTAAGTTCTCGGTTATGATAATTAATATGTACAGACGAAAAATCATGACATGTGTTGCCATATTCACAAGTTCAAACTGATAGTGTTTGTTGCACATTTTCTGACATGAATCGGGGGCACGGGTGGCCCTGTCGTCTAAGGCGCCGTGATTCGCTGTGCAGAGTTGCGTCCCTTGGGCATGCCAGAAACCTATGATTGTGGGTTCGAATCCCAATTCGCCCCAATTATGTTTCTAGTGCTCGTGGGTTTCACCGAAGTGGTAAACGTCTCAGACCTGCATCACTTTGGGCTTTCCTCCCACATTAAGCCGACACGCTGTGATATAACTGGAATACTGTTAAAAGCGGCGTTAAAAACCCAACTCACTCACTCTGACATGAATCTCTGAACCACTGCTTTTTGTGCACACAGCTCTACAGTGCTATGTTATGTTGCTTCAACAGTAATTGAATGCACTGGGCTTTGGATGGGTTAGGAATGAATCATAATGTTCAATTGAGTGGTGTCAAGATTCACTGTTGTATCGATGCTTTGAGAATATACACCAGCGTTCGAAATACCTGCCTGCTTGCCCGACCGTCCGAGACGGGTTGATTTCAACTCGGGCTGCCAGATTTTCAAATCCCCCTGCCCGACGGTCTGGTTATATTTCATAGGTGAAAATATTCTAAATATTTCCCGATGATAAGCATTAATTCACATGTAAAGATGAATGATAAAATGTAACCAAAAAGAAACTCTGTTAGCTTTAAGACAACCTAACATTTAGCGATGCGCTTATGCTACAAGCAATCAGTTTTCATATTTTTAATTCAATTATCCTGAGAAACATATGATTATAGTGGGCAGGCAGGTTTTGGTCAGGGCTGGCAAGTATTTCAGCTAGCCAGTCCTGAGGTCTGGCTGAAATTTTTGGCAGTTTCATACCCTGTATACACATGGTGATAATATACACGATGAGGCTACCCAATTATTGATTCATTTTATGATTCTCTGTCGATTTAATAAAACATTTGTTGCAGTAACGTGGCTACATGGGCTAGCATTATGTTACCATGACAACAGAACATACTTCTAACTCTGATTGTATAACAGTAATACAACAAGCCTGAATTTACCCATGAGAGTTAAAGTCTAATTGGTCGATAGAAACAGCCTCTCATTGCTTGGCCATTCAAAATGGATTTAGTTTGCTTGTCAGGGTTTGTTATTTGACTTCATGCTATTTAGCCCCATGTTTGCAGCAAATGTCAGTAGATATTCCCAGACTAAAGCACGCAAGTTGACACACACACTGTCATTGTTGTGAGACGTTAAATCGTCTTTTCTTACCCCCAAGGTCATGTCCACAGTCACAAAATTACATAACAATGAAGAAAATATTTTGATTGAAGTATGAAATATTACGAAAAGTGAGTTTTTAGTCAGATCAATGATTATTATTCGATAATAGCCCATTTCTGGTGTCCCCCGCCATGATATTGCTGGAATATTGCTAAAAGTGGTGTAAAACCATACTCACTCACTCACTATTCGATAATAACCAAGTTTTGTCTCGTGATTTTGTGTTTAATGGAAAGTACTGGTGTAAAACAAGGTGCCAAAATGATGGTTGACTGTAGGTGGCTATCATTAAACATCAGCTCTGAATCAAGTACTGGGTTGGTTGGTTGGTTGGTTGTCACTGTATTTCAACATCAGTGAGCTTAGATCCATGCCCCTGTTTTCTAACCACTAGTCAGCAGGTACTGGAAAATACTGTGTCTTTAACATGTTGAAAGGCTGATTCTATTTTCATCAATATTTCTTGACTACTTTCCAAACATCCAACATGTCCATGGTGTTAGTGTTTTGTTTGCTTGTTACTCTTTATGATATTACTGATCCCTGTCGATGGAGATGAGATTGCGTGTAGTCGTCCTATGCATGTATGTTAATAATGATTAGCATCCCAAGTGTCCTTTTGCTAGTTGTGGTGTATTTATTTGCTTAAAATGTCATCTAGATGAATATATATATCACCATGGTAACTGGTTTATGCTCTGAACGTGATCTGTAAAGATACTAATTTTTTTTGCAATTTTTAACTTGTATTTTTAGCTTCTGCTTCCCAATATTTATAAACATTGATCATTTGGATGTTATTCAGAAAGGACAGTGTTGTGAAAAGTATTGTTTTGTCTTCAGAAAAGGGTACATGTTAATGCTCCTAGGCAGAAATGTTAGCCTCAACTGAAATCACAGTCTACATGTTATGTTAATGTTGAACAGCTATAAGCTATCAGGCTGTTCCCTCACCGAGGATGAATATCAATGCTCACCTGTAGGCACAAGGCTATTTGAAATTATCATTCTACTATCACGAAGGGCCTATAATTTTTTTGACATGTTATAAATTATCTATCGTTACGATGCCCCCATGTCAAATCGCTCAGCTGGACATTTGGCACAACCTTTTCGAGGTTTTAAAGATTGAAATTTGAAAGTCTTCTTTCTCACTAGCCCTGTGGGCTTGTAAAGTTTTTGAGTTACTTTCCATTTATTCGCACGGCAGTGTTTGTTGATAGTTTTATTATGAATATGCCACTTTCTAGTGGTGAATTTAGCAATAAAATCACTTTGCTTACAGAAAGTATGTGTTGGTGCTTTGTGGAAGTTCCATGTTGTGTGAAAAGGTCCATGGTTGGATTTAGCAAATGTCATGGTGCTTCTTCTGTATCCTTAATCACGTTAATTGGTTTAATGAACGCCTCTTCCTGGATAACATGAAATATAACAGGTGGAATGCATGGCTGTACCGGATGCAAAAGTATCGGTTTCACATACACATCCAGATTAGGAATTAACACAAATAATTTACCTTGCAAGTCCTGTGGTATGCAAATAAGGTTACTGTTTGGATGATTACATTTATCCAAATTGTAGAGTGCATGTTGCATGTTATAATAAACGACTTCTATTCAGGAAGGGGCGGTCGGGTAGCCTTGTGGTTAAAGCGTGCGCTCTTGACGCCGCAGACCCGGGTTCGATTCCCAACATCATTACATGGGTACAATGGGTGAAGCCAATTTCTGATGTCCCCTGCTGGAATATTGCTAAAAGCGGTGTAAAACCATACTCACTCACTATTCTGGAAAGAAATTAAAAGTTCCGGATTTCAGTGGTGGAACTCACCTATCTATAATAGACATTAGGCTTCTGAGTAGGGCTGGGACGGGTAACTCGGGTACTCGGGGCAGGTGGGTACTGAGAAGGACCCGTGTACCAACAGGACTACCCGGACCTGTGGTTCGTCATGTGATATATTCTTTAATGACAAAATTATCTATAACTATATGGTTGCACTACAAGTCACTAATGTTCGCATTTTTCTCTGACTATGCTCGCATTCCTGCTGACTTTTTATATGTTAAATGAAACTTCAGTCAACTTCAGTGTATGCATGACAAGATCGTTTTAAACGTGTATCTAAATACATTTTGTACCTATCTCTTGAGACCTACAGCGGGTACCTGGGTAGGGTCCAGTAATAGGGGGTTTGGTACCGGGTAGTAAATTTGGACTCGTCCCAGACCTACTTCTGAGCATGTGCAATGATATGCCATCGATTTAATTATTAGTAATCAAGCGAAACATGCCACACCGCCGCCCGTGAAAATTCCGGGGTAGAATAGGTCTTCAGCAACCTATGCTTGCTGTAAAAGGTGACTATGCTTGTCGTAAAAGGCGACTAACGGGATCGGGTGGTCAGACTTGCTGACTTGGTTGATGCATGTCATCGATCCCAATTGCGCAGATCGATATTGGTTACTGGACTGTCTGGTCCAGACTCAATTATTTACAGACCGCCGTCATATAGCTGGAATATTGCTGAGTGCGGCGTTAAACAACAAACCAACCAACTTGTCTTCAATATGAAGCTCTAATCATCTCAATGGACCTTAGTAAAATCCACTCCACATACCTTTTTCACAATACTAAATTACAAGTGAAAACACCAAAAATGTTATATTTCATATATTGCTACCTATCACAATACATACTGCACACATAATGGTCTAGTTAGAAAGATCCAGAAAGCAGTGCTGGTGTCCAGGTTTCAGGCACTGTTGCTCGTGCCTGTGCAGCGCTACATCTCTGAGGCGATGATGTCCTTCAACAGCTGCATGCACATTAGCTGACATCGGGGGACGTGGAAGAACCCTGAAAACAGACCACCCTCCATTCATCCGCTGTGGGAACAGGGCATGTAACATATTATCATGGGGTCGAATCCCGGTCAGCACTGATTATGTTTTGTAGGTTGTCAGCACAATACCCATGCCAGCAGGTTTGACCAAAGTGGTAAACGTCTAACACCTACATCACTTCAGACTTTTCTCCCTAATTAAACTGACACGCCATGATAAAACTGAAACAGTGATTACATCAACTCACTCATTTGATCCTTTACAAACTGGAGGAGAACAATGTTTTTGGTGCAAGGTTTAGTTAAACACCGCACACTATCATTACAAACAAACAAGTGGGTGAGTATTGTTTTTACGCCACTTTTAGCAATATTCCAGCAATATCACGGCGGGGGACACCAGAAATGGGCTTCACACATTGCCAAACAAACACATTCTAGCTGAAGACAGATATCTCATCTTTTAACAACCTATATTCACAAACTTACCCTTCCATGGTCCTCCTTTGAAGTTTTGCTTTACCTCCCCTCTTCTGTCCAGGTAGCCGAACCAGTCTCCGTACCCATGATCAACAAACTGAAATCAGATATTCAACAATGTCGTGTCTGAATATCAATGACGGGTTGCTTCTCTGAAAGAGGAACTGGAAGTAAAAGTTTAGGATGTCACTTTGAGATACTCATCCAACAATATACAATCAATATGAAAAGTAAAAATGGTATTTAAAACTAATCACAAGAAAACTGGGTTGCAAGTATTGGCTTACACTTTGAGAGGATTCAGACTAATCATCTAAAGCAAAGTGAGTGACCTGAGTTAAAATTTAACGTCGCATCGGCATTACTCCAGCCATAGAGCGATTAAAGCAAAGTAGGGCGGTGGGGTAGCCAGGTGGGTTAAGTGTTCGCACGTCACGCCGAAGATCTGTTTCGATTCCCCACATGGGTACAATGTGTGAAGTCCATTTCTGGTGTCCCCAGCCGTGACATTGCTGGAATATTGCTAAAAAAAAACTCTGTAAACTCCAACTCACTCACTCTGAGGCAAAGTGATTCACAGGACCTTTCCTGGCAGATTCAATCAAAAAGCGTTAACAGGACAAAGAACTGCCTCTTTATTGTTTGTTTCTTGTTTAACGCTGTACTCAGCCATATTCCAGCTACATGACATGACGTCTGTAAACAATTGAGTCTGGACCAGACAATCCAGTAAATGACATGAGCATCGGTCTACGTATTTGGGACACAATGACATGCATCAACACAGTCAGTGAGCCTGACCACCTGATCCCGTTAGACGCCTCTAATATGGGTTGATGGAGACCAATTCTAACCCGCATTGCACAGGGGAGACTATTAAACAATGAGTGACACACGTTTCATGCAGGTTTTAGCAGCATTGCTGTCTTATCCCAGTGGGGAAACCAGGAATGGACAAGTACCCATGTGGGGAATCCAACCTCGTTCAACAACTATGCTTTCAACAGTCCCTTGATGACAATCTTGCACAGTGGTCCAAGCACTTACTGGTGAGTTGACTTACTTGGACGACTATCCAAATTAGATCACTTGAACAGAATTGACATAAGGTTTGAATAACTGTACTGGACGACTATCCAAATTAGATCACTTGAACAGAATGGACATAATGTTTGAATAACTGTACTGGACGACTATCCAAAGTAGATCACTTGAACAGAATGGACATAACGTTTGAATAACTGTACTGGACGACTATCCAAATTAGATCACTTGAACAGAATGGACATAATGTTTGAATAACTGTACTGGACGACTATCCAAATTAGATCACTTGAACAGAATGGGGCGAAGGACATTACGTTTGAATAGTTGTACTTGCAACTATCCAAATTAGATCACTTGAACATATGGACATAACGTTTGAAAGGCTGTACTGGACGACTATTCAGGTTAGATCACATGAATAGAATAGATGCATATTTTACGCAGATAAGCAGCTTACCTGGAGCTCATAATAAGACTGTTGTAAGCCTATGTTAAAGTATGGGAGTTACAATCATCTTAGCGCTAAGACTATTGTAAGCCTATGTTAAAGTATGGGAGTTACAATCATCTTAGCGCTAAGATCGCTTTGTGCAAGTGGGTCCTGGACTTACGTGTGAGTAACTGTACTTGAAGACTCTATCAAACTTGTGCAGATGTTCCTCATCCCTTGTAGCCTTGTATGCCATCAGGAAGGCTATCATAGCCTCATTGTGAGGCCACCATAGCTTCATGTCCCACTCCAGCTGGGTAGGAGACAGGCCATCGACATCGAGGAAGTAGAACAGCCCTCCGTACAACTCATCCCAGCCTGTCTGGAACGGGTTGACGATAAACTTGTCAATGGCTGTTTTCTGGAGAGTTGAGTCCCCTGATTTCAGTGCCCGTTGAAGGAGGAACCAACCAGCTTCTATTGCATGACCTGGATCATAGAGAGTTGGTTGGTTGGTTGTTGTTTAACGCCGCACTTAGCAATATTCCAGCTATATGACGGCGGTCTGTAAATAATCGAGTCTGGACCAGACAATCCAGTGATTCATATCATGAGCATCGATCGACGCAATTGGGATCGATGACATGCATCAACCAAGTCAGCGAGCCTGACCACCCGATCCCGTTAGTCGCCTCTTATTACAAGCATAGTCGCCTTTTACGGCAGGCATGGAAGGCATGAAGACCTATTCTACCCCGCATCTTCATGGGTCTATCAGAAAGAGTGGGTGAGTGAATGTTGTTATATGCCACAGTCAGCAATATTCCAGCTATATGATAGCAGCCTGTACATAATATAGTCTGGACTAGACAAACCAGTGACTGATGTTTAGAACAACGATCCATGCCATTAGGGCACCCCATCTTCCCGAGGTAAGGGTGTTAACAGACTACAAAAGTCCAGTTTCCACCCTTGCCGAAATAGGCTAAAATTTCTGGGCACGATCATAGCGCCACCAGTGGCTATTAAGAGTTATGTCCCTTCTATGCCCCTCCTACTGACCAATCAGATTCCATCTCTCATATCACTTGCATTTGCTTCAAACAAAATGGCTGTGCCCTGTCAAGACGAACTGATTGATAATCCAGAACTATGTAGAAATGAAACGGGTCTCACCTGGCGAAGTGCATCAAATCACTTGAGCACCTTAATTAAAAACATGAGAAGTTGACAGTACACATGCTTTGCAAATCCTGCAGTCAACGGAAATCTGCATGTTGAAATCCATTTTGTTTATGAACCGGATGAACTCTGATTGGACTATGCATAGACTCATTCTAGCCAAAATGTAACTGCGGAATTCCAGCCTAGTTCGGCAAGGGTGGAAATTTAACTTTTACTCCCTTGCCTCGGGAAGATGGGATACATTGGCACACCAAGTCTCCGAGCCTGACCATTTGGTCGACTAGTATAGCTAGGCTGCTGGAGATCTCACTGGCCATACACTCCATACCGGGCACCATGAGTCGGCCATTGCTGCCTGCCAGCTCTTCTCCACTGACAGACACATTCTCCAGGATAACGCTGCCCTCTCTCTGAAACACAGATTGGGCTCACACACTATTAGGCCGACAAATTACAATTAGTCAGGGTATGAAACTCCCAAAAATTTCAGCCATACCACAGGACTGGCTAGCTGAAATACTTGCCAGCCCTGACCAAAACCTGCCTGCCCACTATAATCATATGTTTCTTAGGATAAGCTAACGGGGTTTCTTTTTGGTTACATTTTATCATTCATCTTTACATGTGAATAAATGCTTATCATCGGGAAATATTTAGAATATTTTCACATATGAAATATAACCCGACCGTCGGGCAGGGGGATTTGAAAATCTGGCAGCCCGAGTTGAAATCAACCCGTCTCGGACGGTCGGGCAGGCAGGTATTTCGAACACTGAATTAGTATTACAATGATACACAAGACCTGTGAAGATCCAGGGTAGAATAGGTCTTCAGCAACTCATGCTTGCCATAAGAGGTGACTAAGATTGTCGTAAGAGGCGACTTATTGAATCGGGTGGTCCGACTCGCTGACTTGGTTTATGCATATCATCGTATCCCAATTGCTCATGATGTCAATCACTGTATTGTCTGTTCCAGACTCGATTATTTACAGACCGCCATCATATGGCTGGAATATTGCTGAGTGCAGCATTAAACAACAAACAATGACACACAATCAACTAAGTCACTGATACTGACCACACGATCCAATTTAGTCTTCTAACAAGCAACAGAATGCTGGGGACCTATTCCAACCAGGGTCGCCACGGATCAGGGAAAAGACTGCTAGATGGCTCTATTCAAAACAAGGCAGTCAGAACAAAGATGGACCTCACTATCAAGTGACCTCGCTTATCTAGATTCTAAAAAAGCCTCCTATTTAAATGGGCGCATGAATGGCTCAGTTGTCTAAGGTTCCACAATTCATGGTGAAGAGTTGTGTCATTTATGTGTGCCAGAAACCTATGATCATGGGTTCGAATCCCGGGCCGCCCTGATTATGTTTCTAGGTTTGTCCATACTCCTGCTCATGGGTTTCACCAAACATCTTAGACCTGCATCACTTCGGGCTTTCCTCCCACATCAAGGAGACACGCTGTGACATAACTGAAAAGCATTAAACCCAACTCACTCACTCATTGTTTAATGTATCCCGGTCCACAGAATAAACAGATATCAGACAGATACATGCTAGTAGCTAAAGAAACAGTTTCATCAGAACTTAAAATGAAAAACATATATGTGACCAAAAATGTCAATAAAATAGAAAATGTTGAATGGTCAACTAATACAACAAACTTCAGTTTGTTTGGTATGTCAGTCCTGCATAACTGATGTTTGGTTCACCTGTATGTGTTTGTTGACCTCACCGAGACACCAGGAGGCGCTATCCTTGTATGTGTCAGCGAGGGTCGGGTCCATTGTCTCCATCTGGTCAATGAGGCATAAGAGCATCATGGGATTGGCAAGACTACTGTATGGTTTGTTGCCAGGCAACTGGATCCTCCCGAGCTGTGAGTCATCCTTCTGGACCCAGAACAAGATCTTGTCCATCATGGCCATGGCTTCCTCCTGCAATACAAGACTAGGTCAGACTTTAATTTCATGTTTTACAGATGTTGTTGAACTCGTGAAAATCTGGGGAAGAATAGGTCTTTAGCAACCCATGCTTGTAACTATGCTTGTCGTAAAAGGCAACTAACGGGATCGGGTGGTCAGGCTCTCTGACTTGGTTTATTTCATTTCATCGTTTCCCAAATGCGTGGATCCTGATGTCAATCACTGAATTGTCTTGTCCAGACTCGATTATTTAGTGCGGCGTTAAACAACAAACAAAACATAGATGTTGAAAAATCTTTGTCAGAAGGTGGGAAACCAAAATATATAATAAGCCACTTACTGGTAAGATTTTTTGTTTGTTCTTCAGTAGGTTTTCTATATATGTTGCCATGTTCACTTGCCCCTTGCCTTGCCACCATGACACCTTGAAACCCTGCATCCTTGCCACAATCCCCCCTCTGCCTTCCTGCCTATTGAAACCCTGCATCCATGCCACATTGCCCCCTTGCAGTCCTGCCTATTGAAACCCTGCATCCTTGCCACATTGCCCCCTTGATGTCCTGCCTATTGAAACCCTGCATCCTTGCCACATTGCCCCCTTGCTGCCCTGCCTATTGAAACCCTGCATCCTTGCCACATTGCCCCCTTGATGTCCTGCCTATTGAAACCCTGCATCCTTGCCACATTGCCCCCTTGATGTCCTGGCTATTGAAACCCTGCATCCTTGCCACATTGCCCCCTTGCCGTCCTGCCTATTGAAACCCTGCATCCTTGCCACATTGCCCCCTTGCCGCCCTGCCGCCCTGCCTATTAAAACCCTGCATCCTTGCCACATTGCCCCCTTGCCTTCCTGCCTATTGAAACCCTGCATCCTTGCCACATTGCCCCCTTGCCTTCCTGCCTATTGAAACCCTGCATCCTTGCCACATTGCCCCCTTGCCTTCCTGCCTATTGAAACCCTGCATCCTTGCCACATTGCCCCCTTGCCTTCCTGCCTATTGAAACCCTGCATCCTTGCCACATTGCCCCCTTGCCGCCCTGCCTATTGAAACCCTGCATCCTTGCCACAATGCCCCCTTGCCTTCCTGCCTATTGAAACCCTACATCCATGCCACAATGCACCCTTGCCATCCTGTCTATTGAAACCCTGCATCTTTGCCACAATGCCCCTTGCCTTCCTGCCTATTGAAACCCTTCATCATGCCACAATGCACCCTTGCCTTCCTGCCTATTGAAACCCTGCATCCTTGCCACAATGCCCCCTTGCCGCCCTGCCTATTGAAACCCTGCATCCTTGCCACATTGCCCCCTTGCCATCCTGCCTATTGAAACCCTGCATCCTTGCCACATTGCCCCCTTGCCGCCCTGCCCATTGAAACCCTGCATCCTTGCCACATTGTCCCCTTGCTGCCCTGCCTATTGAAACCCTGCATCCTGACACCCAGCCCAGCCTGATACGCTTGCCATCAAGTCAACTTGCCCACTGCCACTAAGGTAGCTTTCTACTGTCAAGCTACCACAATAGGGCTAAGACACACTCACTGCTAGTATGCACTCAGAGATCTTACATAACACCAATAAAACTCAATATCTCAGTGCAATAATCTTTAACGTGACACTAAACCCCATTCCACCTCACCACAATATTCTTACTCACCCTATATTTGGCCTCCCCAGTGGCTCGAGCCAGTTCAGACATTGCCATCAGATAGAAACACTCAGAGAAGATAGTACGCTGTATTTTGATTGGTTGACCATCTCTGGTCAGACTGAGGCAGCACTTCATGGTGTCGGGGTTCTTCACATGTTGCTGCAAGAAGTCTGCCCCTGGATGGAGACACTGAGGATGAACTTGGACATTATCTCAAAGATGATGCATAACTTGGATTATCATTCAACGAGATCACCACTTTACAGAGACCTAAACAATCATTACTAGAATGTGTTTTTACTCAAAAACAAATGTCTCTCTCTGCCACTCACCCCCCCTCCCAAACTTAGATACATTAGTTCAAGTAGTTACTGAAAACGTGTTTGCAAGTCAAAAAAAAAAGATAACAGCAAATAATAACAGCCTGGATAGATAATTGTTTCATGTAGAAATATTCATTAGCTGTAGAGTTATGGCTGGAAACAAACACTAGAGAGAGAGAGAGAGAGAGAGAGAGAGAGAGAGAGAGAAATGTTTATTTTTGTGTCACTTGCACAGGCTTATGAGACACATTAAAATGCATGTATATTCATTGCGAAATAATCATTTAAAAAAAATATATAAATGAATAAAAAGATTTTTAAAAATAAAATAAATAATAAAAAAATAAAATAAAAAAAATAGAAAAAATAGAAACAATAAAAAAATAATAATTTAAAATAAAACTATATAGATCTATATATCCAATACTAATAAAAATAAAAATGATGTTTACTTTTTTTAAATAACAATAATAATACTAATTAACTTTTATAGTTTTGTCTTCTTTTAAACATATCTATTGCATCAAAGGCTTTTAACAACATGACAATATCCAATGAAGCCTAATTAACAAGCACACCTCCAAACTGATTACTATATACACATTGGCAGCAAGTTACTGTTATTTGCTAATATAATGGCTAGTGAACAATCCCAATTAGCACCCCTTCCGATTGATCAATGTACACAAGACTTATTTATTCGTGTATAATACGCACTCGTGTGTAATATGCACCATTAATTATGGGCAATTAAATTCTGGAAAAATATATCTGTCGTGTATAAACATTTCAGACTGTCAGCATAAACCAGGAAATTTACAATCTCTGTTTTTTTCACCAAAATAATATTCTAATCAGAGTCCCCTATTTCTAATTTTGACACCACCCTGGGCGCTAATTACGTCGAATACGGTATTGGAAATATGACTTTCAATCCAGATGGTGACAGTGATGTCGATGATACGCCCGAGTTGCCACCCCCATCACAACCAGCACCCTTACTGAAATCTACGTACTGTATTTTCTTAAGTATAGTGCGCACCCGGTACGTTTTGTAATCTATTGTTGCCTCCAGACCAAATAATGTCTCATGAAACATTTGGTTTTTGGAAATTCACTTTGTTGGTTGTCTCAAACCCTGGAGATCTCGAACATTTTCCAGGTCCCTACGAGTTTGACACAACAAGGTTTGACTGTACGTTGCCCTTTTACAACCAAATGGAATCTGTTTGGGCAGATAATCGAGACTGGTTATTCAGACATTTTATATATTCTAAACAGAGGATAAGTATACATATACACACATACTTATACATATGCAGTCTGTGAACCCACAGTAACTTTACCAGAGAGTCACTGAATAATTACCTTTCACTGCAGCTTGTAGGATCTCAGGTCTCTTGTACTTCTCTACTTCATTGTAGAGCCGAGCGTACATCCATACCTAAACATGCGTTAACCGGTGACTGATTCTATGTAGCAGTATCTGATTCAATGCAGCTGTGCCCCTGATTCAATGCAGATGTGACCCCTATTCAATGCAGCTGTGCCTGATTCAATGCAGCTGTGTCCCTGATTCAATGCAGCTGTGCCCCTGATTCAGTGCAGCTGTGCCCCTTTTCAATGCAGCTGTGCCCCCTATTTAATGCAGCTGTGCCCCCTATTCAATGCAGCTGTGACCCCTATTCAATGCAGCTGTGCCTGATTCAATGCAGCTGTGTCCCTGATTCAATGCAGCTGTGCCCCTGATTCAGTGCAGCTGTGCCCCTTTTCAATGCAGCTGTGCCCCCTATTCAATGCAGATGTGCCTGATTCAATGCAGCTGTGTCCCTGATTCAATGCAGCTGTGCCCCTGATTCAGTGCAGCTGTGCCCCTTTTCAATGCAGCTGTGCCCCCTATTTAATGCAGCTGTGCCCCTGATTCAATGCAGATGTGACCCCTATTCAATGCAGCTGTGCCTGATTCAATGCAGCTGTGTCCCTGATTCAATGCAGCTGTGCCCCTGATTCAGTGCAGCTGTGCCCCTTTTCAATGCAGCTGTGCCCCCTATTCAATGCAGATGTGCCCCCTATTCAATGCAGCTGTGTCCCTGATTCAATGCAGCTGTGCCCCTGATTCAGTGCAGCTGTGCCCCTATTCAGTGCAGCTGTGCCCCTATCCAGTGCAGCTGTGCCCCTATTCAATGTAGCAGTGCCCCCTATTTAATGCAGCTGTGCCCCTGATTTAGTGCAGCTGTGCCCCCAATTCAATGCACTGTGCCCCCTATTCAATGCAGATATGCCCAATTCAATGCAGATGTGCCCAATTCAATGCATCTATGCCCATGTCAATGCAGCTGTGACCTGATTCAATGCAGCTGTGCCTCGATTTTATGCACTTGTGCCCCTGAATCCATGCACCTGACTGTGAAAGATGAGGCCCTGGTAGACAATAACCGATTGTGAGTTTTTAAAACATTACTAGGTAATACAATCCCCCTAAACGTACATAAAACCTATAACAACTACAACTTTACACCTAACATGTAACAAAATATTCAAAATGATAACTGTATTCACACTATATCATGTAAAGTATTAATATCAAATGGCACACTTGGCATTACCTGTCGACACTCCAGCCACGTGTACTTGGTTTCATCAAACACACGGCCATCCGGACCAAGGCAGATGAAGAACCCTCTGAAAGAAGAACTTAGTTTCAATTCATGGACACAATAAAACTTAGTTGCACTTTTTTCAAGTTTAGGCTACTTAAAATTTGAGGTAGGTGACATAATATTTCTGAAATCCTGGTCCTCTTGAAATGGCCATCTCATATACCTGGACAACCACCTTTGAGCTGCACAGTCACATGGTGCACACAATCAAGGGAAGCCTTAATCGGTAGTGACTGAGTAAGGATAATTTATGTTTGCAGTACTTCAGAATTATCACGCCAGGGTACACCAGAAATAGGCTTGACATGTTGTATCATTTGGCGAACATAACTTGGGTCTAAGGTTTGACGAGCAAACACTTTAAACACTAGCCTACCCCACCATCCCCAAACGTTTGAGGGAAGTCTGGTTGGTTACTTTTAATTGAATTATCATGGCCTTAAACAAAGTAGGCCTACTGAAACAGGTGACTATTCTCCATGTTAACAGAGCAAGGGTTGCCGTGAATCATTTGAGGCTTCTGTGCAGAGTAGTGTCCCTTGTCATGCCAGGATCCTATAATCATGGGTTAGAACTGCAGAATCCCTCTGATTTTGATCTTTGATTGGTCAGCACAGCATGCTCATGGATTATACCAAGGTGGAAATGTCAGACACCTGCATCACTTGAGGCTTTCATCCCACATAAAGAACACATGCTCTATTATAGTTGAAATACTGTTCAAAGCAGCATTAAACCATACATCAGTACAACATCTCCCTACAACAGCACAGATCTATTAAACATCAGCTACAACATCACCTTCTTCAGCTACAACACCATATACAACAGCATCTATATGTATAACAGCCATATAAGGCTAAAAAAATAATAGTCTTTGTTCTCAGGCACCACCAGCATCATCATAAAGTATGCCGCACGTTTATTTTTATTTCCATTTTTAAAAAAATATATAAAATCCTCAAATATTCCAAGTTCAACAGTAGTCAAATACTGAATACATTTATGTAGGAAGACCCTTTCCCAGGTTGATTTCACACAATTATTTATAATCTTACACAGCTGTTTTGTTACATACTAGTTTGATCACCTCTCGCCTGCACTATATTTTCAAAAGCCATTGCCTGAGAACCAATTCTTGTATTTTTTAAGCCAAACTGGTCCAAGGTAATAATGTACATGCCTATGTGTTTCAGGCTTAAAGGGGGGGCACGGGTGGTCCAGTCGTCTAAGGCGCCGCGATTCGCTGTGCAGAGTTGCGTCCCTTGGGCACGCCAGAAACCTACGATTGTGGGTTCGAATCTCGGTTCGCCCCATTTATGTTTCTAGGTTTGTCAGCACCATACCCGTGCTCGTTGGTTTCACCGAAGTGGTAAACTTCTTAGACCTGCATCACTTCGGGCTTTCCTCCCACATTAAGCTGGCACACCGTGATATAACTGGAATACTGTTAAAAGCGGCGTTTAACCCAACTCACTCACTCAGGCTTAAAGGTAACTTCCACATTATTTTTAAACAGTTATTCTTCATCACAACAATGATGCAGATATAAGTCGGATACAAACCCAAATTCCTCATCGTGAGAGTTTTCCAGCCAGAATTTCACTGTACGATCCAAGTCCTTCTCAATATCAACCAGAAATGACGGTAGTTTTTCTTTAATTGACATAGTCTGAAAATTCACATAAGTATTAATGTACTGTAACATTAAAAATGCTATTAATATTATAATGTTTAATTTATTGCTGCTAAAAAGTAGTGAGTGAGTGAGTGAGTGAGTTGGGTTAAACGCCGCTTTTAACAATATTCCAGTTATATCACGGCGTGTCAGTTTAATGTGGGAGGAAAGCCCGAAGTGATGCAGGTCTGAGACGTTTACCACTTCGGTGAAACCAACGAGCACGTGTATGGTGCTGACAAACCTAGAAACATAATTGGGGCGAACCGGGATTCGAACCCACAATCATAGGTTTTTGGCGTGCCCAAGGGACGCAAATCTGCACAGCGAATCGCTGCGCCTTAGACGACTGGGCCACCTGTGCCCCCTGCTAAAAAATAAAACAAGGACATATATCGTAATGTGATGCATTTTTCTTTCAATTATCTTGTGCATGTCAGATCAGCTGGGGCAAGTTCATCCTGTACGGATAAAACACACTCAGTCATGCTCAATCATGCATTCCTATTACAGCATCAGACTGTATCATGTTTCATTACTGTAGGCAAATTGGGACTGTAGGCTTTGTTGTTGGTGGTTTGTTGTTTTAAGCCACACTCAGCAATATTCCAGCTATTTGATGGCGGTCTGCAAATAAGCGTGTCTGGACCAGACAATCCAGTGATTGACATCATGAGCATCAATCCAAACAATTGGGATCGATGACATGCATCAACCAAGTCAGTGAGCCTGACCACCCAATCCCGTTAGTCACCTCTTACGACAAGCATAGTAGCCTTTTACAGCAAGCATGGGTTGCGGAAGACCTATTCTACCCCGGAATCTTCACGGGTCTGTCGTCAGAATGGTACGTTAGGGACCAATCATTTGATATTTTGGGGGAGGAGATCTTGTAGAAATATAAAGATTAGATACTTGCAGCTACAGCTACATAACTAGATATTTTATAACTAGGAGCATGAATATTTTTTTTAAAAACACCTTGCAACAATGTAATATTTTGTAGCAGGCAATTTCTTTTTTTTAAACAGCCTGGAGCATACCGTATTCGACGTAGTAAGCGCCCAGGGCGCTCTCAAAATTAGAAATAGGGGGCTCTTATTAGAATAGTATTTTGAGTTGAAAGATCATAAATTTCGTGGTTTATGCTGACAGTCTGAAATGTTTATATACGACAGAAATATTTTTCCAGGATTTAATTGCCCATAATTAAGGGTGCATATAACATACGAGTGTGTATTATACACAAATAAATAAGTCTTGTGTACGTAAACCACTTGGAAGGGGTGCTAATTGAGATTGTTTACTAGCCAAGATATTGGCAAATATCGCCGTGGGCGCTTTTTAGAGCAGGGTGCTTATTACGTCGAATACGGTAATTACATTTTTCAACAATTTTCAGAGACAATTTATTTTTTTCGCTAAAATCCCAGGCCCCCACCAAGAATATCAAATGGTCCTTGCCTTACTGGAATTAATCGTTTGGTAGAATTGCTTGTTGTGACTTGGTTGTGACATGGGTGTTTGCATGTCATGGGTGTTTGCATGTGTGGACTGTTGCTCATACTATCAACCATTGGTCGAGGCTTTGTTATTTACAGACAAATACAGATAAAATATTGCTGAGTGTTTTGTTCCAACATCAAATGTACAAATTAACAAACAGGAAAACATTTCAGTCATCAACACAGCATAATTTACAGATAGATATGACATATAAATATGTAACGAGACAGACACATTGCTGACACAGCCCTGCAATTCTTCAAATGAATGAGACAAAAATAACACTGAGTGAGTGAGTGAGTGAGTGAGTGAGTGAGTGAGTGAGTGAGTGAGTGAGTGAGTGACAGCGTTAGAAATTGGCACTAGTCCTGTCGTCCTTACCAAACTGCCCAATAGTAAAGGTATCCTAAGGACTAGTAGAAATTGGCCCATTTTAAGGGTTTTGCTATATGTTATCATTATAAGGACTAGTGGACTAAAACTGTTAGTTTCTAACCCTGGAGTGAGTGAGTTTGGTTTTATTTCTACTTGGAACATTATCTCAGTTACATCACGTGTGTCAGTTTGATGTGAGAAGAATGCCTGAAGGTATGCTAGTCTTAGACGTTTACCATTTTGGTAAAACCCTTGAGTATGGGTTAGGTGCTGACAAACCTGCAAACATAATCATGGTTAAATATGGGATTCAAACTTATGATCATAGGTTTCTGGCATCCTAAGGGAAGCAACTCTGAAGTTTGAACAGTGAATTATGCCACCCTTAAATGACTGGGCCACCTGTGCCCCAGATTAACTACTGCACTGGGTACATACTGTTTTGACATGAATATCAGTTCAAATTAACACTCTGTCAAAATTCATTGGAAGCATGTGGCTATATGTAAGCCTATTGTGCCTTTGATCAGATGACAAGTACCGTTAGTGACTGGCAGTACGTCCCGCAATGCTCCGGTCGTGATAAACAAGTTACACCTTCACGACCTTATGTCAAGGCCACAGCAGAGATAACATGACCTCACTGAGGTAATCTACTTAAGACATTATCCCTTTACCGATGTAGAGTTCAAAAGTCATTCTAAATGAATTAACTGTCAGATTTATATCCAATTACTTTAAAGCTCTGAGCCATTGACGCATATGATTTTTTACTGACTTTTTTAATTTTTATTATTTTTTATTTCAAATATTATTTTTCAAATGTTCCTTATTCTTGAAAGTGTGACATATTCTTTTAATTTTCATTGCCATATATTTCATATCTGAAATGAATCAACACTGACCGTGATAAACCTTTCCATTCTTCCATGCAGTTATTAAAATTTACTTGAATCCATGAAAGCAATAACGTCGGGGTTCAGTCTCTATTCACCTACTGTGCTGATCACCTACAGTAAAGCTGGTTTTTAGTGCACTTTGTCTACACTATGAAAAATGCATCCCTTTCAACAATTGTGGACTAGACTATTAATAAACTATGTTTTTTATAACTTTACTCTCTGGATATTGACAAATCTGTGAGTTGCTTTGAAACATGTTGTTGTTTATATATTTCCCCTCAACACCCAGTAGATGAAAGGGGAACTCTATGTGTTTACATCAGTAATTAACCCCTTTGTAGATCAAAAACAAAAGTTGAAAATGTAAACGAGGGAGTCCCCATGGTTTTACCCTGCTTTTAGCAATATTCCAGCTGGGGTCAGAAATGGGCTTCACACATTGTACCCATGTCGGGAATAGAATCCGGGTCCTCAGCGTGACGAGGAAAAACACTTTAACCACTAGGCTACCCGACCGCCCCCGAAAATGTAAATGAATGGTTATGTAGTCTAATGATGGCTAAACCCACAGTGTGTTGAGTCAATAGTCACAGAGTGGAGGTAGACTAAGATTGTGATCAATGTCTACAAACAGTGTTAAATGTTTATCAGTGTCAGTGATAATTAAGTATTTCAAGGGTTTGACAATGTAAAATACTCTTCAGTGTTAAAAATGCATTTAATATTTTCATTGTAAGGATTTAAAATTGTCAAATGTTTTTCATTATCAAGTATGTATTCAAATATGTAATAACATTACAATGTGAGAAATGTTGATCTTGTCATTCTGATCAACTGTCAACCATAAGATTTTACATTGTGATATGTGTCAAATATTTATTATCAATGTTAATATATACATACATATATACAATAAACTATAAGTATAAAATTATTCCTTGTTGGTTGTTATGGATGAAAGGATTTGCTATTGTGCGCCCTGAACCATGATGTTGTTTGGATAACACTGTCGGCAAAGTGCACTGTCAGCAATAGGAGAAGTTACCGATGTCGGGGTAGGACAAGTGGAATGAACACTCATGATTGAGTCATGATTAGGTAGCCATGAACTATGTATCTCTAAGTGGTACTTGTTGGTTAGATTTGGTAGATTATCTTAAAGGGGAAGTGTACACGCAAAAATCACTTTCTTTCTTTTTCTAAGCAAAACGCAATTTTAGAATTAGTTAATATCTGTGTTTGAAAATGTAAACTCATTTTTTTCACAGTGAAAGTAGGAAGCTCACAATAGTGTGAAAATGATATGCCGTTATGAGGCCTTCGTTTTTCGAGCTAAACAGGCCTGAGTTATCTCCCTTAGATTATGACGTAATTGGTGCCAATTCAACTGGATCCCTGTCTATTCTCAACGCAAAAGATATCAGGTACCAGTTTTCGGTAAAACAACATGGCCTACAACACACTCCGGCCCAGTGGTGACTCAGCATAACACTATGCTGGCTGGCATCTGAGACGCTAGAATCACACACCTGTACCTACACCACGTGAAGCGGCTCTAACATAGCATGATGACGTCATAATGTTTATCAATTGGCACCAATGACGTCATATTGCAAGGGGCATAAGCCATGGTGTTTTTGTTATGAAAATAGAACACTTGGTAAATGTGAAAAATATAAATCGTTTTAATGCAAAACATATGTTAATTAATTGTGATATTTTTATATTTTTGTCTACGACACTACTAGGTTAACACTTTTAATGTGGAAAAAGTACAAGAAAAATAGGTTCATTTCCGTGTGAACTTGCCCTTTAAGCAAAACTACAATCTGATATGACATACTGTCATCTTGCCACATATTAATACTTTGTTTACATGCTTGTTCTTTTGTACCACCGCCGGTGGGATGGAGAATAATAAACTGAAACTGAAACTGATATGGAGAAACTTCAAAACAAATATATGACACAACAGCTACAAAGATGGAGTTCAAGCACTCAGACTTCCAAACTTTGTTTTGTAAAGAACATTGTATGAATCATCTTCCCGAGGCAAGTGAGTTAACTGACTATAAAAGTGGAAACTGGACTTTTAAAGTCAGTTAACTCTCTTGCCTCGGGAAGATGTGTATGAATAGGAAGTTCCCAATGTTGAAAATACCTATAAAGGTATATTATCTTTGTAATACTGTGCCAATATCCTGAACAAGTCTTCTTTTGAATCTAATATTTTCATCACACTATAAATCACTCAACACTAAATGCCACATTTTTCATCCATGAGTTAGATTTGACAAATATTGACTTGGCTGTATTGGTTTTATATTCAAAATGCAATAAAAATATATACGGGGGAGGGGGGCTGTTCTGAACCAAGAAAAAGTATTTCTTTTATTTGCACTTAGAAATGTATATAGTCACTTTACAGCTTTAAAATGTAATACTTAACTTACATTTGGACCCCCTTTCTCCTAATTATAACATGTCATTCAAATATTCCAGTTCAGTTTTATAGCAGTGTAATCTTACACAGTGTAGCCCCACCTCCCCCTTGTTGCTATGGGTCTAAATATATACTTTATCTATATACTTAGATCTACATAACTTGTAACGGTAGTCAGTCAGATATGGTAATAAGATATTTTAATAGCGCTTTATTGTTTCTTCTCATTAGTGGTGAGTATTGTTTTTAGCTCCCTTGGGGTATGGAGCGAGTACCATGCTTTCCGGTGAGAAAGGCCTATGTTTATCCGCATTCCGTCAAGATGTTTTACAGAATTTCTAATATAGAGAACTCACAGTTGTCCAATTCCCTGAAATCCGTAAAACATCTTGACAGAATGCGGATAAACATAGGCCTTTCTCACCGGAAAGCATGGTACTCGCTCCATACCCCAAGGGAGCTAAAAACAATACTCACTACTAATGAGAAGAAACAATAAAGCGCTATTAAAATATCTTATTACCATATCTGACTGACTACCGTTACGCTCCCCCAAAAATTAGAATTAACCTAATTTACATTATACAATGAGAAATGCTGATGTGGTATACATATAAACACAATGGTTTGGCTAACAATACAGTATTGCAAGTGCAGATAGGCAAGTGTCATACCCTGACAATGAACAAAGGTTAATGCTTTTTGGCAAAATACATAATCATACAAAATAATAAACATGAAATTACACATCAATGTGACAAAGTTTATAGTTCGGATCGGATTCGGAATCATCACTCACAAAGTTTATAGTTCAGATCGGATTCGGAATCATCACTCACAAAGTTCAATGAACCCGAAAATGAATTTAGCACAGTCTGGAACACCATACTGCAAATGAATTTACACACATTTGAACACAGTTAGTTCTCTTTTTGTAAGAGAAGCACAAGTTTGTGAACTGGTCTCACAAAGTTTGATTCACCACAGTCTACTTTCACAGTTCTGACTAGACCATCTTCACTAAGGTACACTTCTGAGATGCGTCCAAGTTTCCAATGATTCCTTGGAATATTGTCGTCCTTGATTATCACGATGTCGTTTACAGAAAGATTTCTACATGGGGCAGTCCACTTCTGCCGCAACTGAAGACTTTGCAGATACTCTTTCCTCCAATGACTCCAGAATTCATTAGTGATGTATTGAACTCTGCGCCATCGCTTCCTGGAATACATGTCCTCCTTAATGAATGTTCCAGGTGGCGGAAGGATTACCTTAGACTTCATGGTAAGAAGGTTATTTGGTGTCAGAGGTTCTGGAGAGGACGGATCGCACAGAGTGTCAACAGTTAAGGGTCTGCTGTTTACAATGGCAACAGTTTCACACATCACAGTACGGAGGGATTCATCATCCAACTGTGATCCAAAGTCATGAAGTAAAGCAGATATGACATTTCTTGCAATTCTAATCTGCCTCTCCCAGACACCACCCATATGGCTTGCACATGGTGGGTTAAACTTGAACTCAAAGAAATCACAGTCTCTCTGCAATAGGAATTGTCTCACTTTTCTTTGATCAAGATTTGTTAGAACACCATACAGTTCGTTCTTTGCCCCTACAAAGTTAGTACCTTGATCTCATCGTAGTTGATGGATCGGACCACGTACTGACATAAAGCGTCTTAGGGCGTTGATAAATGAGTCTGTACTCATTGACACAACAGTCTCTATTCAACAGTATTGCTCGGCAACACAGCCATGTGAACAGAACACCGAATCGCTTTAACTCCTTTCTCCCTTCCTTTACATAAAAGGGTCCGAAACAGTCTACTGCACAGAATGAAAATAGAGGAGCTTCTTCTGTCCTATCAATGGGAAGATTTGACATCTTCTGGACTTGAGCCTTGCTCCTGAGTTTCCTACACGAAACACATTTCAAAATGTAGTAGGACACACCTGAGCTACAACCTATGATCCAGTATCCACTTGATCTGATCTGATTGAGTGTTAGACCTTTTCCCTGATGATGAACTTGTTCATGGCAATGGCGGATAACAAGTGTTGTTATGTGGTGCTTCTTTGGCAAGATAACAGGGTGCTTAGTGTTTTCACTAATCTGAGCACGTTTTAACCGTCCTCCAGCACGTAAGATGCCATTGCTGTCCAGGAATGGATCCAGACTATACAAGGCACTGACTGATTTCAGAAATTTGTTGCGTACAGTTGCCTTCTCGTTCTTGAATGTTCCTGTTTGATTCAAGGACTGAAGCACTTTCAGTTCTTCGACGAATGCTTCTTCCTGAACTAACTTTAAGATTACAATCTCTGCTTGTTCAATATCTTTGACTTGCACTGAACCAGCTACTGATTCACAATCTCTTTGTTTACTTTTCCGAAGCTTTCGTTTCAGACTCAGACAGTGAGCAACAGCACGCTTGGCACGGAACCAGTCGGAGAAATATTCCAAGCGCTGAAGTATTGAGTACGGAGGGCTGTTCTCATCTGTCTCACAGGCAAGTACCACAGATTTCTTTCATTTCAGGGTCATCAGCATTTCTCATTGTTTAATGTAAATTAGGTTAATTCTAATTTCGGGGGGAGTGTAACGGTAGTCAGTCAGATATGGTAATAAGATATTTTAATAGCGCTTTATTGTTTCTTCTCATTAGTGGTAAGTATTGTTTTTAGCTCCCTTGGGGTATGGAGCGAGTACCATGCTTTCCGGTGAGAAAGGCTTTTGTTTATCCGCATTCCGTCAAGATGTGTTACGGATTTCAGGGAATTGGACAACTGTGAGTTCTCTATATTAGAAATTCTGTAA